TTTACTGTTAAAAAATCTTCGTACATCGGTGTCTTCGACGAAAATATCCTTATCATATGTCACTTGCTGTATTCCTTCTGATAAAACTGTGCGGTAACGAATTTCCTGCTGTCTGCAGCAAAATGTATAGCGCAAATACACAAGCAAGTTGAATTGGAAATCTTCGCCGAAAACAGTACTACATTTCATATTTCTATTAACCATTAACAACTGTGATCTAGTTGTAAAAACAGGTAATGCCGTCTTACAACATTTTTTGTTAGTGATATTTCTTTCGAAAGCTTTGTAATATCTGTAATATATTGCAATAATGCCGATGAAAAATCATTGGGCAGTTCTATCCAATGGCGAGCGTAATCAGTATCTTTTTGGTAATCCTTGTTAAACTTCGAAACAAGGTATTTTTCCTCGACAACTTGGGGAACATTAAAATGAAAGCTCTGCCTTCTTTGGCCGAGCTATAACAGTAACCGGCAACACGTCATCGTCGTTTTCACATAAATCGCTGTTGTCGATAAGTCTATATCTATCCGTAGCTGATTGGCCTTCCTGGACATCAATGGCTAAAGAACACCCGGTTTGCAGTTTCGAAATGGTTGTTTCTTTAGGCAGACTGCTAACGATCGAATCGTTATAACACAGAACGTTTTGACTGTTTTCAGGGAAAACGTATGTTAACCAATGACCGCTGGACATCGCGTTACCAATGTGTGCTGCAACACACTTAAGTTTGGTAAGCACCAAATCACCTTTTAAATCGATTGTAAAGGTTTCATCTAAGAGAATGCGAGTAGATATTTTGCCTTTGACGGCGCCTCGGTTAATATCGAAAACAAGCATTTTTGGTAGCGATGTAAATGTCACATCTGCTTCTTTGAAACACAAATTGGCATTAGACGATAATTGTAGTGATGCCAATTCTGACGCGAATTCTTCAAGGTGCGATCTCAAACAAATTTCAACATCTTCATGATCATAATCATAATTTCATTTATTCAGCACATCTTACCCATCTCCCAGTAAGTTTAGCGCATTATGAAGGTTCGAAATAACAATGTTCATATACTGTATGTGTTATGAATACTTTCTTAAATCCAAACCTACTAACTCCATGTATTTAAATTAAAATAATTGATAATTTGTAATTGCACGGCACCAGAATTCAACTCGATTCAATATGCAAAAGTGTCTTCTTATTATATGTTTTTATATTAATCTATTTAAAATTATTAATAGTTAAAACGAACATTTATAGAGATGAAGATTAAAATATGTAAACGGCGTTTTTCGAACCATATTCGAGCCTCGATTTCAAGCAGATTTTGAAGGCATACTCTGTCAAGATTTGTTCTGCTGCTGGTGTTCTGCATTTGTCATCTATTATGAATGAAACGACGCGACAATTTGTCGTTACTTTGCGGATTATATTCGAATTTGAAGCCGAATCATCTATTTCAAACTAAATATGACAAAATCTGAAATCATTGTCAAAAGTTGTCGGAAAATAAAACAACATATTCGAATTTGGTTTCGAATAATCGATATGGCATAAAATACTACAAAATACGATTTTCATCAATTTTTGAAGGCCCATATTTTTTTCAATTTTTATTCTGCTGGTGATCATACTTTGTTGTTGGACACTTCAGTTATACTTAAAAACGAAATCATTGTCAAAACTTGTCGGAAAATAAAACAACATATTCGAATTTGGTTTCGAATAATCGATATGGCATAAAATACGAATACGATTTTCATCAATTTTTGAAGGCCCATATTTTTTCAATTTTTATTCTGCTGGTGATCATTCTTTGTTGTTGAACACTTCAATTATACTTAACAACGAAATCATTGTCAAAAGTTGTCGGAAAATAAAATAACCTATTCGAATTTGGTTTCGAATAATCGATTTCGCACCAAATATGACAAATTCCGATTTTTATCAATTTTTGCAGGGCCGTATTTTTTTATTTGTCATTCTGCTGGTGATCATACTTTCTTGTTGAACACTTCAATTATACTTAACAACGAAATCATTGTCAAAAGTTGTCGGAAAATAAAACAATATATTCGAATTTGGTGTCGAATAAACGATTTTTCTCCAAATATGACAAAATCTGATTTTTTTCAATTTTTGAAATCCCATATTTTTTTAAATTTCATTCTGCTGGTGATCATACTTTGTTTTTCGATACTTGAATTATAGATAAAAACGAAATCGTTGTCAAAAGTTGTCGGAAAGTAAAATAACATATTCGAATTTGTAGTCGAATTATCGATATTGCCCAAAATACGATTTTCATCAATATTTGAAATCCAATTTATTTTTATTCTGCTGGTGATCATACTTTGCTGTTGGAGACTTAAATTATACATGTAAATGAAATCATTGTCAAAAGTTGTCGGAAAATAAAATAACATATTCTAAATTGCCGTCGAATAGTCGATATCGCTCTAAATATGACAAAATCTTATTTTCGTCAATATTTGAAGGCCCATATTTTTTCAATTTCATTCTGCTGGTGATCATACTTCGTTATTGGACACTTGAGTTATTTATGTAAATAAAATCATTGTCTAAAGTTGTCGGAAAATAAAATAACATATTCGAATATGGCGTCGAACAATCGATGACGCATCAAATATGACAAGATCTGATTTTCATCAATTTTTGACGGCCGATATTTGTTTCGATATCCTATACTTCATGATGACTCGGTTTGTTCCTTACCCCATATCATATATAATACGTACTTGTGACTATCTATATCATTCAGAATTACTCTTATAAGTTGTCGGCATTTTGCGGATTATATTCGAATTTGGGCTCTTACATTACAGTTAGCATTAGTAACATTGCAAAAAAACCTACCGATATTTTTGGTGTTCCCTTTATGATATTAGATTTTGTTTTCTTTTTCGTGCTAACATATTCTTTTTTTATGTGATTCACCGTCATGTGAATCTTATTTATGTATTTTATAATTACCAGTACCAGCTTAATGTGCTTAAACGTATCTTTTTCTCCGATGTGTTTTTCTCGGAACATTTAATTCTGAGTAGGATCCGTTTCTTCGTAATTAGTATTATTAAAAGTTGGTATATTCCGCGTGGGAATCGGTTGAAAACTTCAGAATATTTTTCTGCTGAAATTCTGCTGGATTCGCAGTGGTACTGGAACTGTGTACAGTACTGTACTGTATCATGTGACTGAAGCTTAGTGATTATTCGTTCATAATCGTAATAGTTCGCAATTGTTTACGTCATTCACGATGTAAATAACGAAATCCAATGAGCCCAGAGCACTGATTTTCTTGATCACAATGATCGAGTTTATAGGCTTAGATATTACAGTATGCCTACAGTATTATCTTTTATATCTGTATATGTTCGTAAAGTGCGTTCGTAAATTCGAAACAGCGTTATGGAATGCGCGTTTGTAACCTAGAAACATCGTAAGTCGCGACCGTCGTAACCCGAGGACTCCCTGTAGTATCATTTTCAGGTTATACGGTATTGTGTAATAATTCTCTCATTTTGTAGTATTTTTATGATGTCCAGAATGATGAGACATCACTCTATAAGTTTTTGTAGCTGGTCATAGTATTCAAACACGATAGATCGCATACGATGTATATTTGAAATAAAACAAATATTTTTTTTATAAAACTCAATCTCGGTTCCGGGAATATATTGTTTAATGTTATTGAGTGTACATATTTTGATATCAAAAAAGATTCTTGATTGGTTTAATCCAGCGTTTCCCAACCTTTTTTGGTCGCGGACTATTTTCTCACCGGCGAAAACCTTTGCGGACTCAAGGTGCGTTTATTGCAACCGTACTCTCTGTGAAGAAGCAATAAACCCAATCACAACAGAATTTTAACAAATTTCAAAATCGGAAATTCGCCGCAATTACGCGTTCGTTAAAAGAGCCGACTATTCTTTAGTGTATAACGACCTCTTCTGTCGCACAATACTCAATCCATAACAACGACGAGAATTTAAAATGTCTTTCTATTTTAATTTAATTGTGTTCATGATAACTGGCGGTTGCGTCGACTTACGACAAGATGAAAGCATTACTTTTTTGAAATGCCACGGCAATCTGCGAACATAATGATGTGGGAATATATTGCCCGATTATATTTAGTCTTAATACTTTTTTTTCGATGTTGCGAATTTGTTATCGCCGTTAGAAATCCTACTAACTGCTATAAATCTCCAGAAAATACAACTTGATATAGTACTTATTAAAAATATATTCAAATTATATTAGTAAATCAAAAATACATATTCATCGCCTTGTTTTATTACTAATGATCAATTTAATCTGCGGTTGTATTGAGGAAATAAAAGCAATACTCTCAAAAAATACAATGACAATCCGTGGATACAAAAATGCGTGGTAAAGTGCCCGATTATATTTTGTTTTGATTCGTATTTATATGAATTCGACAAATCTGGGGCGCCATTCGCTAAACTTCGTAAAAAGCCGGGTTTACGATCTCGTAACTGTGTCTCTCAGAATCGTGATAGCGAAATCTCGTTAAATGCGATTCACCAAAGACCTCGTAAGCACTTGACGCACGGTCACTAGCATTCTCTCGAAATCTTACGCACGGTCGCAGTTGAACAAAATGCACTGACTGATCACTCAGCCGTATCAGTTGTCGCCGCTTACGGTCGAGCGTCTTTCGCCTTCGCGGTAACCTATCGGCTTTCTCTGCTTCACCTTTGCAGCCTGCGTTTTGAAATTTTGTTCATATAGCAGTGGCGTAATCTATAGACTGACGGATAGGCTACATGGAATAAATGCTGAAGTTACACAGAGAGAGATTTATTGCCACAAAACAAATTACATATTGTGAACTATTTGTATAACAGACAATAAAATCAGTGAGTTGCCAAAGCTTGTTAAGATTCCATATTTTTAATTTTTCATTGAGTCTATAGTCCTCTATCAAGGTCCTTTCATTTGCATCTAGCTAATTTTTTTCTTTCGGATACGACATGGAGAGATTGTTGGACTTTTCTTCTGCAAGCTTCAATATAGGTAGCCATTTGTGAATCTGTGTTCATAATACTGTAGGCCAGTGCTAGAATAAACAAAAAACAATGACTTCAACAACTGAACAATCTCTGAATCTCAACCCTAGTTTAATCTGTAAATGCGGCAGATATTCCACAGCTAAGTTAACGGCACTAGACTACATACACGCTTACCTGAGTAAGGCCCCTTGATACTATGCCAATTTTTACAAAGTATGCTAACGTCCCAACGAGCCTATTTTAATTTGAATCACTGCTGAGAGCAATCCGAACTGTTAACGAGGCGAAGATTGTTCTCGTTAGCTAGCGAGCTCTTCAGCGGTTAAAGAACTTTCGTGAATACCGATTCTCGATAAAATGTGAGAAGAAGGCACTTTACGAGACGTCTCATTTGGCGCCAAAAAAACTCTCTCGAATAATTTCTCTCGAATATTTACGAAGCTCTGTGAATACCATTTTTGCTTTTCACGAGAAAGTCGGTGCTTAACTAACACGTTAAGCGGTAACGAAGCTTTGTGAATGGGGCCCCTGAGCTGTTTCTACAACACTTACGGCGTTACAGTACTGTACGTACCAATGTGGATGCAGTAAACCAAAAAAGGGAAAATGCCCTGGTGCGTATACCACGGTAGTGACATTGCGATATGCAATATCTAAAAAAGCGTTTTTGATCGGTCGCGGACCATCATAAAACAAAACTTGTGGTGTCCTCCGTTTTGTATTGCCGCTTTTCAATTTAGAAAATTTGGGTTGCCACCATTGACACCTACTAAAAAAAAAGATTATTCCTCGTTGCAGGTATCCTCGGAGCGTGTGCAGACTCGTGTTTTCGTCGAAAATCCGCAAGTGAGTTGTGAAATCCAATTTGATTAAACGACGCACAAGTGACCTGTCGTGTCACGTGTTACCAAATTTTCGAATAATAAATTATCATTCTAATAGTTGAATATTCGAATATATGCCCAGCCCTACTCAGTAACCAGTAATTATTGACTCGATTAATGCTATGTGAATAAACTTGCTTTTTATGTGTTATGTAAATTCGATTGTAAATCGAAACTTGGCTGATTGGTAACTTTCGCAAAAACGTTTGCGGCCCGAAGTGAATTTCTGGCTCGTTGCGGACTCATTCAAAGGCTTCGCGGACTCATTTGAGACCGCGGACTCGGGTTGGGAAACACTGGTTTAATCCAATGACTTATAACGGCAAATAAATACTATTGGCTAAGCGGTGTGGCGCATCGTCCAAATCGTTAGGGTCGCTAGCCATACGTAGGTTCGATTCCCGTGGGGGATATTTATGTGCGAGAGGATTGTTGGACCTTTCGCGGACGTAGGGTGGTTCACGTACCCGTTGGTAGGTTACGGCTTCCATCACCATAAAGTCAATGCATCTGAAACTGATAACTGGCTAACTAATCGCATACCCAACATGGCCTGGTAACCGGACAAAAAGCCGTAATTCGTCATATGGTTGAGCCGTCTTTTCAACTAACCTTAACACTGGGATTAATATTTTATTGAGGAAATTATTTACATTCTTCAAACGTCGAAGAATTCCCCAACTTTGTGGCCTATCATTTATTCAATGAAAGTCGTATGATTCAATCTCTGTTTTTCTTCCGATTGAATAAATATATGATTTGTTCTAATTTACGACCAGACTACAACAGACGCATAGTAAATGTAATCGTAAATAAATACCTATACGGATGTAATATACGCTTTGTACAGCCCAAAGCTGGCCCAAAGTGACTATAACAGGTTTATAGTCACTTTGGTCGACCCGAAACCTTTGCTGCCCTCAATGGAAAAATTAGTTTATCACACCTATTTCGGGGAAATCCCATATGAGAGAGTAAATGCTCTGGGGATATGGGCTGTCAATCGCGGTTGTAGTGGGAGCAGGTTCAGAAGTTCGAGACTTCGTTGCCATCTTGTTTAACAGGTATGTGCATTTAACATTCAAAAATAGAAAAGGGGATGATAATATTATAAAATATATCATTAGTCAGTTAGTCTAGTCAACAGTGGCCAGTTCGTGGTTCATGTTGCATGTGCCGGGAGGCAGCGGGAACGTCAATTTTGGGGTCTAGTATAGTTTAGTACCACAAGTACTTCCAGTGGGCGTAGCATAACGAATTTTGCATATGTTATTCCTAACCACCACCTGACTATGCCATCCAAAAATTACGTCACTACAACGTCACCATCACGTCATAGGGCTTGCCAAATTATAATTACGATCGCCCGAAATGGCATCTGCGCTGCCGGTAACGAACTCGCTAAAGCCGGCGATCTCTCTCTTATCGTGATTGTTGTGACAAGAAAACGAGAAAAATAGCTTGCTCGATTTCAGGTGGTCGTCTGCGCGTTTTGGACGACCATCCGCATATTTTGGTGAGCCTTATTATGCCAATGTCTGAATGTGACGTCGAGATACGTAATTTTTCGATGACGTAGTCAGGTGGGGTTAGGATTGACATATGCAAAAATTGTTGAGCCAGGCCAACTGGAAGTACTTGTGGTACTAAACTATACTGGACCCGAGAATAGTGCTGAAATTAACAATATTTTCGTCAAAGTTTCCAGTAATTACTTACACCAAATAATTAAATTAAACTTATAATGATTAGAATTATCGTATCAATTTTTCAGCACAGATAACTTAGCTAAAAATAATTGTGTACCATAATATAAAGCCATGGCAGGTCCACAACATCTTTCAAAATATGATACAGCTTTATTGGGAATTTTGCAACATGAAGGAGAATTGGAACCTTTTCTTGACGTTGTGTTTGGATTTTTGTTTCGGAAGACTGACTTTTATCATGTTATGACTGACACACAAAAGAAGTACGGTTTCCCACCGGGAGTTTCGGAAAAGCTGATAATGAAACACTTTAAAAAGTATTCAAACTTAACAGCTAAAATGGTGGAACAAGCAGGAAAACAAAAAAATTTGGGTGGTGAATCTCTCCCAGAACCTACTTCCAAATCGAGCAATGCGGAAAGTGAACCTGTATCCGATAAAATTGAAACCCAACAAAAACCCGTGCGAACAAAACCAGCTGAAACGAAAGTTGCAACAAGTGAAACACCAAATCCATCATCAGCGAAACTTACTCCTATACAAAAAACGCAAGAAGAATATCAAAGTAATCCAGAAAGCTACAATGGTGCTGTACGTGATAAATATACGTGGTCTCAAAATTATGATGACATTGACGTCATTGTTCCTGTTGCAAAAACAATAACCAAAGGGCGTCAGGTAAAAGTAACAATTGAGAAGAAACATCTCTTTGTTTCTGTAACTGACATCGACGGAAAGACAGATACTATTATGGATGGAGACTTGAAACATGAAATTTTACGAGAAGATAGCATGTGGTCCTTGGAAGGTAGTAAAAACATACAAATCACACTGGCTAAAGATACAAAATTCTGGTGGAATGCTCTCTTGATGAACGAAGACGAAATTGATGTTCAAAAAATTGCTCCAGAGCGATCAATGGCTGACATGCAAGAAGATGAAGTTGCTGTTATAAACAAGCTGCAGTTTGATGAGAAACAAAAAAGGCTTGGTCTACCACAAAGTCATGAACTGAAAGTACATGAAATGCTGAAAAAAGGATGGGATGCTGAAGGTTCTCCTTTTAAAGGACAAGATTTTGATCCAAAAATGTTCAATATTTCTCCGAGTGGTGTCCAGTAGCTCCTTGAAATATATTATGCTACTGTATCTTTGTTTTATTGGACAGCAAATGTTTGACTGCCTTCCTTCAATCAATTAAACTGAACTGTTTGTCATTAAATCGTATTACGATTTTCTTGTTATTTTTGAAGGTTTTATGGAATCAATTATCTTTTACCTTATAATCGGTCTAAATTTCAATTATATGGGGGGTTTCATCAATCGGATGGATACCTTATATGCCTATATTAAATTGTTGCTGAATATAATATTTGGATAATTTTTTTCATAAATAACCATAGTAAGTAACCATAGCAACCAATTGAATAACCATAGTTATTTGCATATCGCTGGTAATGTACAACTGGTTATTTCTTTTTGCCAATAGCCTATCCATATTTTATTAACTAGAGTTTCATCTTTCATGTTGAGCAATGTTACAAAATAGATGCACGAACTGAGATTTTTCTCTTTATGAAATGCTGAAAGGTAATTTGTCTATTTTGACAAATAAATTTCTATTCCTTTTCAACCATTGTCTGAATATTTTTATACTTCTCAGTTCTGATATAGTGCTGCTTGAAGACAGCCTGTTGAAATTCTGATGATAAAGATTAATTGTATAACGATCAACGCCATTTACTTTTAAATTGGAACAATCTGAACAAAATGTAAAGTCCCAAATATTAATATACCGATGAGCGAATGTCAGTAGAAGTTTTGAACATAAATATCAATTTTTTTGGCAATTAGCTAAATATTTTCCACTTGTACATTGTCTATCCTTATTGGATATTGATTAAATGTTTTCTTTTTTTATTTACATATAGTTTGTACATATCATATAACTAAAAAATTACAAGTATGTTTCAAATAATTGCTTGTATCTTTATAATTATTCAAATAATTCGTTTTCTACGACTGTTTGAAGCATGCACACCTCCAAAGTTATATCATTCTGGGACCAACTTTGCTTCGGTAAGTTCAATTATAACTTGATTTTTTAATTTCACATTTGTTTTAAATTTTTTTTGTTGCTTTCTTAAACAGTAGTATGAAGTCAAATTCTATATCATTTGTAAGTTATGTAGAATCCATATCAAATCTTTTTTCAGTCTCAGGGTCATAGGTCACACCAAATTCTATTGAACTATGACAGTCATTCCCAAACGAGTCCACTCATCGCATGGATTTAATACACATTAGAAAACTCGTATTGTTATAAAATGGTGTCTCGAAAATGTCGTGTCCCGTATTTCCCACATGACCCAACTCTTTGCCCTGAGACAAGTTGGACACATGGGACAAGTGGGACACGACATTTTTGAGACACCGTTATTCAATGTTATTGATGTGTAATCTATTTTCAAATATGCCGTCCATTGTAAGCAAGAAGTAAATGCGTTGTGTGGTATAAAAGTCTGGAAAACCGCTGGACCAAGGCATTGTGAAGGAATCTACCATTGACATGAGTCATGATTTAATTTAGGTTGAGATTCACATAATTGACTTGAATGACATTGGGTGTTTCAGTTATCTGAATACAATTGAAAGGTGTGCTATTTGGGGTTTGTATAGTTGAAACATCTTTTCGATATTTTATTATTAATATCAATTTATATTTTTCTACATGCAGAAAGTTCTGAAGAGATGTCCAAGCTTGACTCAAGTATATGAGCCTCCTGGTATATGGGGAAAATGCGGACATATACAAACATTTTTCTATGGAAAAATTGGAAGATTCAACACTCCACTGCCTTTAGGAGAAAGATTTTATAAAACGCTACCTAGTAAAGAAACAATCACTTATGATATATTTCAACCTTTGAACGACCATAAAACTCGAGGTAATTACAATCCTTAGGTGTGTGAATTGCCATTATCTATAACAGGGGTGTGCAAGCTTTAATTTATGAGGGCCACATTCAAATAACTGCGAGAAACAGCGGGCCGCTATTTTTTTTAAACATGAATAGTTGCAAGCCCAAAAATCTTTGTTATTGATCTTTTAACATTCGTTGTTTGCTTCACACAAACTAGCTGTTAGGACATTGTTACGTATTGAGATATCACGCAGGTAACGAATTAAAATAAATTAAAAACTCGTTCCACTGTCGCACACAATTTAAAATTGGTATGTCTTCTCAGGCCGCACAATTTTTCCTAGTGAGTCGTAATTGGCCCTTGGGTCGTATCGTAAGTTGCACTCCCCTGGTCTAACACACAATAAACTATCAAGGTTATACAACACAATTGGGCTACTTTTATTCAGAATTTTTTTGATGTATTGTAGACCTATGAAAAGGAGTGCATAAGAAATTTGCTTCAGGAAATTCTTTTCTTCAAGTATAGCTCTATCTTAAACTTTTTTCCTTCCTAATGTATATTTGAAGCTTTGTTTTTAGCTGACTGTATACGCCTCACTAAATTTGGAACATCACTTTTTTTTTTATTCATTTATCCATTATTAGTATTTTAAACTCTAATTAAAAACTCCTACTTTTGATTATATTTCCCATTTCATAGCCATCTTACTAACAAATGGCTTGAGTCTGTTTGTTTTTAGCTTTTTTTTATTAATTTATCCATTATTCCTCTATTTTCAGGCGATTACACAATTCTTGTTTGTCCTGGTATTGCAAATTCGTCAGAGAAATCATACGTAAGAACTTTTGTAAAATATGCAACAGAAAGCGGATTTCGTGTCTGTGTTTTGAATCATATTGGATCACTTGCGAATGTCAAACTAACATCACCCAAAATTTTTACATATGGTACGTTTAATAATTTTATATTCTGGAAACAATTAGGTAAGTAGAACTGTTAGAAATTAGACCAAGTATCCCAGCAAACTCGAATCTTCAATAGTTTTTTCAACGTACCAACTTGTAGAACTCAGTAAAAGGAGTATCATTTCCCAGTAGGCTCCTATTAGACCTATAGTATTTATATGCTTGAAATAATGATAAATTATTTTATATTTAGGAGACACAAGATATTTTGCATCGATGATAGAAACGGTTGAAAAAATGTACAGCGATTCTACTTTCCTAATTGTTGGGTATAGTATGGGTGGTAATATTGCAATGAAATATCTTGGTGAAAACAGCGAACGTCAGAAAAAAATATTATGTGGTGTAAGCTTGTGCCAAGGATATGATGCAGTCAGGTATTGTTTAGTGGTTATATTGTATTATATTTGTCGCCAGAGACGTTGTTGTATGAATACTTTGGATTCATATATTTGGATTTTAATATTCTTAATAAGTTCATTCATGAATTTTAGGATAGTCTATCTGAATTACAATTTAGTTCTGCGTTCAACTATATTATATGATAATATGAATATAATACATTTATCTAAATTTCTCTCTCAACTAATTCGGCATAGACATGGATGTGTGAATTGTTCATTTTAATTAATTCATATTTATAATTTAATTAATTATACCTGTATTCCTATTTCTGTCAAATAACAATTGAAATATCTATATTTATGAAACATTTTGTTTAATGATATTAATTTTTAAATTATTCTTAACTGAATACTCTGAACGACACGACATATTGAATCAATTAATAATCTACATTTGCACCATACCTTTGTTTATTTTATTACATTGCTAATTATAGCCTCCAAGTAATGAAATACTGTTCATTACTGTTTAAATAGAAGGAAATGATTGGGAGGGTACCAAAGGTGAACTCATAATCATAGAATGTGAATTTTATTGCCATATTGACGTTTTATCTCTAAACTTAGTGTCAAGTTTAATCTATCATTAGTTTTTTTTGCCTGAAAATATTTGAATTGGGGAATTGGACTAAATTTTATTATACTTTCTTTTGATAAGGTCCACTGAACCAATGAAAATTGGATACAGACGGGTGATTTATAATAGAATGATAACCACAAATATAAAGAAAATCATTAGACCTCATTGGTAAGTTGAGAAAAAGTTCTTATAACTTAGCTTAGTCTATTTTTCCACAGAAAAATTTGACTCACATCTCTATATTTTTTGACTTCTAGAAATACTTTATTAATTCACTTAAAATGTACTTTTGAGCTTATATATCTCTTTCTCATTTTATCGTTATCTTATGATATGATGGGGCCCAAATTGTATTAACATCGGCATTTGTAAATTGGATTGGAAAAATTTGTGTATTCTACGGTAAACAAACTTTATTTAATTTTTCATTTCATAAATTTTTCATGTTTTTCACAAATGAATTCAAAATTTAAATTATATATTGAACAATTGTCGTATTTGTATCGTTTATTTTTCATCCACACCTAATTCTGAATATTCTGATCTTTTTATTTGAAACTTAAAACTAATGTTTTATTAGTTGACTCAAACTATTTATCCACATTTTTATCTATGTATGAATATTTCTGTATGTTGACAATGACAGATAGATGAATCGTAATCTGCCTATATTATGGTCTTCAAAATGAAATACGATAGGTATATTACATCATTATTCTCATGCCAAGTAATATTATATTTTTGATGATAAGGAATTCTTTAAACACAGTTTCCTTTATTCTTCAATGCAGGGATGATTTATTTAGTTCTGGCGATTCAAACCAACAATCCGCAAATTATGATGCAGATCAAATTCGCTCCGCCAAATTCCTGCATGACATTGAAGATGGCCTTTTAAGGTATAATGTTTTGACTGGCTATAATATCACAACAAATATGCAAATTCGATTAGTCTAAGTTTAAATCTCAATCCCCCATTTCACCTGGGTAGGCTATTCTGAACCAGAAATATTCTGATAAAAAGTAACTCCATACATCAGATATTTGCGGCAACTTATATTGGGCCCTGTTTGAAGCAAAATGCTTAAACAGCGGTCATGAACTGAAATACCGAAATATTTGAATGATGCAATGAGCTGTAGTCAAGTTTAAGGTTTTCTAGTCATCATATCAGAGGATCGATTTCATAAACAAAAATATACTGGTACCATGATTATGGTCTGTAGGTCATTTGTCTATAATATATCGAAGCAGATATAAGCCACATTTGATGTATGAGAATTTTCATTTCATCACTAATATTGCACCAATAATATTCACACAAATTAGTACAGTTGTATCAAAGATTTTGCGTTGCCGATGAATTGAGCTTTCAAAGGTATTGCAAAAACTGTTGGTTCGATAATGCCAAAGTCATTTACATTGATTTTTCAACAATACTTGAGTGCATGTATATTTCATAGTTTTCGAACCATTGTATATATTATTCTTTATGTTTTATACTTTTAATTGCATTAGTCATTTTTTACTCAGGCGAATTGATGGACATGAAAGTGTTTATGCTTATATGGATAAAGCAGGATGTTGTCATGTTATTGATAAGGTATATTGATATGCTGTTTTTAGCTTTTGAAACATTGATAACAAATAATAAATATTTCAATTCATTAATTATTACTATTTTATTATGTTTTTCATTATTTTCAGATGTAATGACTATTAAATATTTTTATTCAACTGAATTTTTTTGATTTCATTCTAACCATAGATTAGTATTACTAAACTCTCTATTGCTGGACCCCATTTAACCTTAAATCATTGTATTATCTCATTTCCCCTTGTTAAAAGGATCATGTATATATTCCTTGTTAAAAATTTATCATTTATATTTATTTATTCTGCTATGTCACTATTAAATTCCCCATTGGGTTCTTATTAACTCACTTTCGAATTTGAGTTATTTTATTTTTTATTTTGATGAATGAATATACTATATTTTTCAGGTTAATATTCCGGTTCTCCTCGTTAATACAGAAGATGATCCAGTTGTTGTAAATGATGTTCATGATATTCCAAAAAATTATAGTGGTAAGTAATTCGGTTACATATATATCTGCATAACTTCTTATTATATTTAATTAGGTAGGCCTTATTGATTTATTAATGCATTGCGTATATTTATGTATTGATATATTGGTGTAAATGCTAGAGAATAAATTTACGGGTTTTTGTTTTTGGGTCTTCCTGTACTTTACATCAGGGGTGTGCAAACTGTGGCCCACGCGCCAGATGTGGCCCACAAGGAAAAATTGTGCGGCCGGCAGAGAAGTGCCAATTTTGAACAGTGTGCCCGCAAAACAAGTTTTTAGTTTAGCTAATCTGGTACATGTGAGCAATTCCAATAATCCCTTGCGTCGAAAAGCTTATACCAGTACCTGAGTGCCACTGTCATGTTAGCAAAATTAGCTAGCAAAATCCTGTTCAAAATAACAATGTTATAAAAACGTAATTCATTTAAAGTCGGTATGACAATAAATTTTAATATCAGTTTTCTTTAGAAATGTATGCGTTTTAACTCACCATATCTGCAAGGACCCCTAACAATGCTGTAAGATTAATAACAAAAAAAAACAATCTTTTGTGCCTGCAACTACTAGAAAGGCTATCCTAAATAAAGGTGCAGACTACGTCTACACCCAGTTATTTGTATCTGGCCATCCTGTAATAAAGGTTGCACGCCGCTGCTTTCTACTAATTTTCAATAATAATTTGAGGTCTCTGTTTGAAATTAAAACTAAATGAAATACATATATTTTTTTTCAATATCTATATTTGGACTCAATTTGTGATAAGATTCAACGGATTCAAAAAATTGAAAATACGAAAAAATAAGTTTAACCTCAATTTTGTTTTCAGAGTCACACCCAGAAGCCATATTTGCAACATATAAGTTCGGTGGCCATCTTGGATATTACACTGGATCATGGTATAAACCTGACGACGTAACACTGGTAGAGAAAATGATTATTGAATATATTGATTCCATTATTGATATACGCCAGAAGAAAGTTCATGCAGACTAATTAAAAATTTATTGACAATATGCATAAAACATGACACTCAAATTCTTATACCCGTCAATTAATATAACAGTTTTTAATTTTTTGTGTTAAAATATTGTCAAAAATACACATCTCATGGGTCATCCTTTCTATGAATAAGGCTACAGATACATACATACGATTAAACGACGACGGAAGACTAAACTTACCAAAAAGCAATTATTTAGATAAAAATGCATGCAGATGGTCAGGAACCACTGCTCTAGATCACTTTGTTAGATAAATTAGGTTAGCAATACCAATGCTGCTATTTCCCTCAGCATTTGTCTGAGTACTTATCAATGCCAAACATAGAAAGTATTTGAATCCTCAAAGTCTTCGATTTTTATATATTCTTGTATTCAGTTATTAATCAATACACACTTTTACTAAGGTTACCTTATGACCAAATGTAGATAGTTTGTACAACATTTTAATTTCCCTTATTTTGCGTTAATAATATAAACTATATCATAATATAAACCATATGCTGTCCTCAACCTATTTCTGTATATTTCCTCTCTATACTTATGCCTGTAGAAATTGTTGACCAGTCATCAAATGGAATATGTACAATATATATCAATTATTCATTTTCCAAGAACTTTTTTATACTTATTTGCATAAGATTGAGCTTTATTAATAAATTTTTGATAGGATATTTGAAACTAAGTAATTGACCACCAGTTTAAAATATGCTATATCCATGATATGTATATTATACTTGCCTGTATACCATATTTGCAACAAATTATATTGTTATATATAATAGAGGTGATTACAACAAAATGTGTGTTATACACAAGATACAATTCATTTTACTCCACGTCTTTTTTAATTCCTACCTACATTTATTGAGTTCTACTTTTCGAAATTTGAATTCTGTTAATGTGAATTGAAAAAAGGGGGAAAAAGTTTGCCTGCAGAAATGTTGCAATGTTTTGAAACATATTCAAAATTTTATTTAACACTAATGCTAAAAGAATGTTAATCTGAAAGGATTTTGTTCAATTTGCCTCTTGTTATATGCAATGCACCTACACCATTATATTTCAAAAAAGTTCCCAATATGTGTTTAGTGTTTATTTGATTTGGCCAGGTGGATTGGTCTGCTATTCTCATAAATAAATTTTTTAAACAAATTCTGGGTTAAACCAAATTTTCCATTTGTTATTGGAAGGATGAATGACAAGCCATATAAAATTATTAAACTGTCATCAATTTACTTTGTTTGCCTGAACCTTGCAATACCGTATCTTATGATGATGGTTAAAAAGATTTTCATATTTTTTTCCCCCAACTGTTTCTTGTTCCATGATATCACCAGGCATTATGATGTAATAGTTAGGGATAAAGAACAAACCATAGTATTATATAATATAATTTATAAATATTTACTTATTGTTGTATTTCGATTTAAGCAAGAATGTACTCCCATGTTTTTGTTCATTCAGTGACTGTATATCACTCTAAATCTTATTTAGTTTATGAATTCTTGTACTTTCTTGATTTCTGTATATTGTTATTGAAATTACCAGTTTGTGATTATCTTATATATAATAATTTTCTTAATAAGTTCCAATATTATATTATTTATAACTTGTTGAAATTTTTTATGAACTTGGTTGGAGACTCTATTTAATATTTCTCGATGTGTAAGTTATTTTGTATATGGCTGTGATTCCCATATGGTAAATGTGTAGACGGGTTCTGGTAGGGTATTAGGATAAATTTGAAATGCTCCTCTGCCAAGCATGCTGTAAAGAATTGCAGTTAGCGTCATTCCTATCCGATTTGTTATAATTAAAGTAGACGATTTTACAGTTTTTGTATGATTTTCATATTGCCCATTGTACATGTCGTGATCGATTTGATTGTGAAGCTTTGATTGTAGATTACTGTTTCATGAGATTTGACTCGTCCTGAATATGCAGATATTGTATGAAATTTACCATTAATATTTATTCTAAAAATTAAATACGTAGTACAATTTTACATCAAACGTAAGGAATCGTGCCTAGGGGTCTTCCCTGGCATACTCCAGACCCAGTGAATAAATCCTTTGTTCCTAACTGTTTTTGTGGTTTCCTAATGTGGTTTTTGTTTTCATTTTTTAACGAAATTGTTACTATTTAAATAGAGCACAAAAACAAGACGGTTTTGTCAATGCCACATTGTTGAACTGTGTAATGACAATCATTAATACTTGATTTGTGATTATATGCATATTTGAGTCGAATCATTATTGAAGTCCAGGTGAAACACTTTGGTACATGACTAACAAATTTCACCGGTGTATGGCACTGCCTCCATTGAACTCTTTTCACTTTGATCAGTTTGCACATTATATGTTATATTTCTTTTATTTCGCATTTTTTTCAGTGCAGTGTGAAATGAAATATATATGATTCTTCATCATTGCCTTAGTTTTATTTCAAGTATTAGCAGTATCAGTCAAAATGTAAAAAACTCTATATGATAAATGTGCCTTTGTTAGGATTTCCTTGGCTATCTCCCTAAAGAAGGGGACCGACCCTGTTTTATAACAGTGGAATATGACATATTGTTGAGGTGTTAGGTGACTACTGCATGACAGAGATGGATTTTCATCAAAGCTATATTAATTTGTTCTAAATGCATCATGGATACCCTGTAAATGGACAAATAAAATACCGTATTTCTCGGCGAATAAGTCTCTTTTCTAGACCCAAATTTTTGACCTGATTTTGGGGGGGGTCGTCTCATTAGGCGAGTATGATAATTTTCATTTTTTTGGTGTCGCCTTATTATGTATTAGGTAATGTTCTTTTATGGTGGACGCAATCGCGAGTTGAACACAAGTAGATTAAAATTTAAAGACAGTTTGAATTCCGTAGTTATTATGGATTGAATATTGCGCTACAATAAAAAGTCATTATAGGCTATTTTAACCAATGCGCAAACGCGGTTACCGCTCAAAAGGCATTGCATGGTAATTTGAGATTCAGATGTTGATGCGATTTTACTACCCGGACTTACTGGCAGGTTATATGCAAAAACCCATTTTTTCAGGCTCGAAAACGGGCCTCGTCTTATTGACCAGGTAGACTTATTCGCCGGGTAATATGGTACATCACATTATTGGAAGCTTCTATAGACTGTAAAACCCATTATAACATTTGGAACCGGAAATCTAGAGCGATAGCCGAGTTTATATATAATTGCTTTGTTCTCTATTCCAGATCTAGATGAGGCTGAAATTTCTTGAGTGAAACACTATTATAAGTGCCCACCAAGCACGCCACCTTGGTTGACGCTAATGAGGTCATGTGAAATACGCTCATACTAGACTAAGATGATAAGCTTTTTACAGAGTTTAATAAAAATAAAATTGATAGACAGACGTCTGTACTATTCGACCCTCTATTCTGAAAAAAACGATCCACAGTGTGAAATTAAAAATATATATTTACATAAATAGAAACATCAATTTATTTCTTTTAGAACGAATATCAGGTTTAAGTTTCATCTTCTCTTGGACCAAAACAAACCATAATTCGTCTCATTGTCTGTTGTGCCTGTGGATATTCCTGGCTTAATCTATCCAATATATTCATCGTGTGATGAAGCCTATCATCTTGTTTTTGCATCTGTATAAAGTATAGTAATTCCTTCATAGATATGATTAAGTTATATCACAGTATTAGCAACAATACTTGACTTTTGCCTCTCACAGGCATATCATTTTGTTTATTATTTAGTAATGCAGGCAGACCAAAAAAACCTTAATATGAGAGCAGAGCACCAATTTTGAATCTGGCCTTGAGTAAGCTCCTTCAATCCCATAAGACACGATGAAATGAATTTATTATGATGGAGTTGAGAGCATGATTCAAATAATTTTATGGATACAGTCATAACTGAAGTCCCTACCTGATCATATTTGTTGGAAAAAAGAAAATATTCGTTTCTCATTATACTCATGCTGTTCATTATATAAGTAAATAAAAGAAAAAATTTACCTCAGCTTCTAACGCTTCATCCGTTTTACAAAGAGATGAGTATTTTCCTCCTTTCACAGATTGAAGATATTTGAGTTTTGATTGTTTCTCAACAATATTAAACAAGTTCTGAAACATTTATAAATAAAATACATGAAATTTAACAACAAAATTCTGGTCACTTTTCTTTTCAAATCAAAATGACAAGCCTCTCAGTCAATTGACTAAAAACTGGCTTGGATTCCTTCATGAAAGCTGCAATCGGACATTTCGAAATGTACAAAATCTGGACAGATTGAGTTTAATTAATTTGCAAAATGGAAGACAATATATCATGTTACATAAGGTACATCAAAAATACATTTTCTAAGCTTAGTATCCAATTAAATTAGCACAAAAATAACAAAATATATCAAAATCTTATATATATATAAGAAGAAGAATCATTTTCTCGTTTATTAAAGGTACAAGAAACTAAATACTCAATGCATTAAAATCATTGGTATCTAACAACGTAATATAAGTTCACATTTTTCATTAAACTTTTTTTGTACCTTCTGTTTCAATTCTGCCAAATGTTCGACATCTCCTTCCAAAGTATCAACATTTCCTTGTAACTGCTGTACAGTGATTTGTTTTTCTTCTAAACTTCTACTGACTTCTGCTTGATTTTCTCTCAATTGTCTTATATCTTCATCACATGCATTTGCATCCTGCCAAGTATAATATACTTATGTTATGGTGATCATGTATATGTATATTTTTGTACATAAAAGTACTACCAACTAATAGTCTTACTAATATACGAATAAAAACCATTGAAAATAGTATTCAAAAGTACATTATCTCATTTCTAATGTCTTGTGGAGATTTTCTGATGAAAAAATGGCGGAAAAATATCTTACATCCTTTTAAATTAAAATTCATACTATCAGCCCAATGTTACGAAAACAAGCGACTCTTTCCAGTGATGTACGTAGACAAATAGATTTGGCTTGCTTATTAGTACATTACCAGGTTTTTGAACGATTCATGTTAAGTAAAATAGCCTTGGTGTTGCTATCGAACCAAAATAGTTGGAACTTTCTCAAATAACCTTACCCTTTGTGTGTTCTTGATTTTCTTTTTGATTTCAACCAATTTCTTCTGGAATGCTCCTTTGGTTGGCGTTTTCTTGTCAATTTTAGATTGAGCCTCTCCTCGAGTGACTATAGTATCTCTTCTCGATACAACTTGCTCCATCTCACGAATCATTTGTTCTTGTTGTTTCATGAGTTGAGTATAACGTACCTGACATTTATTAATTATAATTAGCAGATGCACAGGAATTTTCACCTTCAAACTTTTAAAAGTTTTAGACAAATAGTTACTGATATCTGAGATATCTTTTTGGACTACCAACCCAATTTATTACTTATTAATATGACAGGTTTTGAACATTGGGGTCAGATTTTAAATTTGTGATGTGAACATAGCTAGGTCTCGGGAAACTAGCAGTTAGGCCATTACACTCTTTATCTAAAAAAAAAAATTAACAAAGAGAAAAACCACAGTACCTGCATGCGATGAATCTCAGCTTTCATCGCTTTAATTTCACTCTGGCCAACTTCGGAATCAACAGCAGCTCTAGTTTCTTTTGCAAGTTGAGTCTTCTTTTCCCAAAGCATAATCTGGCGTCTAAAGAAAATTGAGATTCGCATTTGAAAGCCTTTCTGTCTAAGAGCCACTATACTATATGTCACTATATATTATTCACTTACTCAGCTTCGACCAAACTATTCAACAATCTTTCTTTTTCTTCCTTCAAACCATCTAATTCCTTCTGCATCTGTATTGATTCAAGCTCAGCTTCCTAAAATGGCAAAATGAATTGAGAAAATTCCGAATTAATTTTGACTAATATAAGATAGGATAATAATCTTAACAAAGAGGTTTCAATAGCTTTACCTTTAACCCTTGCACAAACTCATTCTCAGTGAGTTTATTTCCTTGTTCTAAATTCTCTTCAATTCCTCTCTCTCGAGTGAGGAGAGTGTTCAATTTTGTCATCCTGTTTTGCATGTTTCTGATTGATCGATCAATTTCATTCTGTTCTGCTACTTGTTGATCAATTTCACCTTTTCAAAAAAGAGATTTATTAGAAATTTGTGATTTTAATAAAAACCATAAAATTTGACAAATTTGAAACATTGAGGCAAAATTCGCCAACGAAATCATAGAATCTGAAATTTAAATTTATCAAGAATAGTTTTTTACTGTATTTTTGTAATTTGAATATTAGGCTGATTTTGTGGACATCTCTATTTAACTGAACTGCTAGCTAGAATAAAGGTCTATGATTTCAAAATTTAATCAGAGGGAGAAGTCTAGTAAGATTGCTAAAATGAGGACATTTGACGAACTATAATTTCTCGATCAAGGTCACATAGAACATAATTTCTCAAATGGTTCGCATGGGAATTATTAAACAGCCAGATGTTTATAATGCGCTTGAGTTTAAAGGCCGTACCAGTGGTGGCATTCAAAATGTCTACACATTTAATAAACAAAAAACAAGAATGAGTTAAATGAATATCACGTCATTCGAAGAATGGGTTCGCTCGAACCCTAGTAAAACCCCTGGATCCCAACCACATACCCATACGAATCGTAACTAAATCTGACAATAAAATTATTGCATTTATGACAAAAAGACCAACCTTCAATTCTCAATTTCTTTTGCAGTAATATAGTGTGTTGTTTTTTCAATGTTTCAACATCAGTTTGTTGTTGATCTCTTTCCTTGCTTAGACTAACCAATTCATGTTGTTGTCGAAGCCAAAACTGTTGCAAATCTGTGATTTCTCCACCCATTGACTCTATTTGTTTATTCAATGAATTGATTTGCGTCTGTAACGGGCCAATTTCTTCTCCCTAGAGGAAAAAATAAAAACATGATGCTTTATAAAAAATGCTCATTGATAACAATAAAATTTGCACAAAAGTGGGAAACCAAAATTTTGTTTAAGATTAAAAATATAATCACAAATTGATAAAATAAAATTATCATTTTCATCACATTGTCAGTAACAGTTGAAATCTGTCCTAACGAACCTTGCACTTCCAAAGCTTAGTTTGACTGATACTTACTCCACTGCTCATCACAATTTGTTCCAATTTCTTATTATATTGATCAATAATTGTCTGTTTTCTTTCAATAACAGCATTTCTCTTGCTTGCATCATGTTCTGCACGATTTATCAGCTCATTGCTTGATACAATATGTTTTTCCAATTCGTCAAGTTGTTTTTGAAGTTCTGTGGTTCGTGCCTCATAATCGGCTTTCTGCCGGTTACATTGGGCAATTTCATTTTCAACCTTTGCATAATCCGCATCCTTAAATTTGAAAAATGAAATAGAAATATGGTCTATTTACAAATAATGAACGAGTATAAAAACTTCTCTCCTATCTTTGCTCAGAACAAGGCACTTGACAAGGATGTAACAAAGAGAGGAACTTCTATGATTTTTCCAATTTGATATATCATTATTAGCCACTGCCCAATATATCATTTGTTCAACTTGGCTCTGTTCCAATATTAAATTTATTTATATTTTATGAAGGATATTTCAAAGTAAGTTTCCCATATAAACGTACAACTCATAAAATTGATAAAAGTCTATGGCACCACCTGACATGCTAAGAGACAGATGTGTTTTTATGACCTAGATGCTAAAAAAAATGTTGGATGGAGCACATTATGTCTCGAAGAAGCCATTTTAAGATGATGATTTGAACAATTTTACACAGATCTATCTCTACATACACTTGACTCTCAAAACCTTCAAATAAAACACTCACCAAAGCCTTTTTTCTATCTCTGATTTCTGTTGTAACTTTTGTCGTATACACACTTGCTTTATCGGCAGTTAATTGTTGTTGCAGTTTCGTCATGATTAAATCTTCAAGTTTCACTTTTTCTCTGTATTCTCTTTCAATTTGTTTTCTCAACACGTTAATTTCACTCAGTCTCATAGATCGCTCCTGGACACCAAAGAGAAAAGAAAGATAAAATTATGCCTATATTAGCTATATTCAAAAAATTTAAGACACGGGTGTGCAACATTTTTTGTCAGTGGGGCATATAAACAACTCCGACATCTAGCTGGGCCGCACAAAAAATTTAGCGGGAAAGGCAAGATAAGAGAATACAATACGACTATCGCTTAGCCTTACAGTAATGAATGCGCCGGGCATACCGACGAAAAGATTTAACGAAGCGAGAAGAGCAAAAACATTAGGTATTCATTTCGGATTAGGATTTTAGGCTTGATGGGGAAAAATCTGAGTGTTGACAAGTGCCACACTAAATGGCTTGGTGGGCCGGGCTGTTGCACAACACTGATTTAGTAAGACCAAACTTAGTGACAACACATTTAAAAATTAACTCTTCAAAAATTAGACATTGTTTCCATTTACTATAAATTCAAAAACCTATTGTTCTTCATCACTCATTTCCTATTCATGCATCAAAATTTTTCCTGGGAGGTTCAAATATCTAGAATCACTTTTTCAAAAATGTTAGACTTTATTTCTTGCTTTGCCAAACTACATGATCGTACAATTTTTGTAAACTGATTGTCAGAGAAAATTTGATGTTTCTCAAAAAACAAAAACATTACGGAATAAATTTGTGGAATTGTGATATTTAAACCATCCAAATGTAACCACGATTTTACTCAGTTAAATTTACGACAATGATGAATTTACTATAAAAAGGATAAATTCTGCAGGAAAAAAGTTATTTCGAGTATCTGAACTCTTACCATAAATCTTTTTTTAAATAGCATCATTTTGTTTTCTTTGAAGTTTGCAAGTAAATTTTTTCAACTTTTTTGATTATTTGAAATTTAAATTGTTTAGGACATAATCATGAAATTTCAAATTTTTCAATCGTATACATTAGAGCAAGCAATCAAAATATCTAATGATCATGTAAAGATAAAATCTAAACGAGACCATTATGCATCCAAACTTACAGTATTAGCTCTATTGACAGCTTGTTCTGTTTCATGCAGAGTTCTGCTGTATGTGCTGTATTGTTGTTTTGTGTTTTCTTGTTTTGCCAAACTTTGTGAAATTAGTTTTTTAGTGACGCTGATGTCATTTTCTGCTTTGTTTAAGACCATTGTCAATGTCTCATTTTTTTCCTCTTCTTTTTGAATTGATTTCTTGTATCCATCAATCTCAGTTAAGTGTGATTTGACTTGTTGTTTTGCCAAGCTAGTGTTATATAAAACAGATAAAGCATGCTATCATTCTCTTAAGTAATGGACAAAATAAAATATGCTACACGCCGGTTGGCGCGTTGTGCTAAGCATTAGGAATATACTTCCTACCATCCTACCTCTAATTACCCTGCATGGGCTCGCACGTTCGAATGGTGTAGGGGATAATATTATACGAGAGAATTGCTGGACTCCTCGCGGCAGTTGGGTGGTTCGCATAACCAAACACTAGTCGTTTACGATTTCCTCCATCATCAAGTCGATGCATATGAAACAAATAATTGGCTAACTGATCCCATACACACCATTAACTGGATGATTTGATTAAGCTGTCTTACAGGCTTTTCTCTCCCCCGGGTCAATATGAAAATGAACGGTTGGTACACCATGCTGAGCTCTGTCTTGAGATGATACCCATTACCTCTCCCCAAGATAAATATGGAAAAACTTATCTAATTACTTATCAACTTGAAAGACATATATGGTACCAATGTTTTCTGCATATGGTCAATTTCGTAATCAAGTAAATTCAATGATTTATGATAATGAAATTAAATTTTGACCTAACCTTGAAATTATCAATACTCTGGTTTTTACAAGTTTTAATATTACCTAAGAGCTTCTTGCATAGCAGCATGAGCTTCATCTCTTCTCTTCATACCGATTAAACTAGAAGTCCATTGTTGATATAATTGTTTCTTTTCCATGTCAATAGCCTGATAAAAATTTTTACCAGAAGTTACGCAAAGGCAGATTGTTATTAAGTATGCATGATCGTTTGAAGAAAATTGATAAAAAAGTGATAAGGGTAATTCGATAAATTGACCATACGATAGATGGACTGTTTCTAAAAAGGCTCCACATTAGAAAAAGTTCAGGATTAAGAATTCTTACTTCGATCTCAGTTCTTGCTTCACTTAAAGCTTCCTTTGCAGCTTTTGTTTCTTGAGATTGAGCAGATTGTTGTGCTTCGTACATTGCTATCATTTCACGAAGTTGTTCAACACGTTCTGTCAGGCGATCAATGTACAAATCCTTCGAAAAAATTGGTGAGTTTTCATATGTAAAAAGTTAGGATAGGATTTACATGTTTCTCTCGAGTGGGAGGAAAGTTGATAAGATGGCCTAATCACATGGCAAACCACAGCCTCTCATCCAATTACCAGTCCATGTCGGGTATGAGATTAGTTAGCCAGTTATTCATTTTCAGAAGCATGGACTTGATGGTAGAGGAAGCTGAGGAGTCCAGCAACCCTCTCGTACATAACTATTCGAGCATGGATACGAACCTGCAAACCCCCGCAGGGTAATCAGAGGTGCGGTGGCGAACGAATTCATAACGCTCAGAATGATGTGCCACACCGTCAAGTTAATATAAGGTATGAAATGTTTCTTTCGAACAGAAGAGTTTTGCACTTATTTTTATAATTCCATACTCACTAATGAATCTAATATGCGTCGCTTTTATATGTATAGCAGTGTGTTTTTACTTTGCAGATTAAAGCAATTTTTTGCAGCAAACGAAAAATTGAGTTAGTACCTGTCTCTTTTTGTCCACTTCAGATTGGGAGATTTCAACTTCAGCTTTCTCAGCTGCACGTTTCATGACAGAAATGTCAGATTGCACATCTTCTTTTGCTCTTTTCATATAAAACAATCGGGTGGCCAGGTTTTCTACTTCCGTTTGCAGTTCTGAATCTGAATAACAGAAAATGATAGTTAGTATAGCAAGTTTGTTAGGGATCATATTTCAAAATGTTTTAGATCAGGGCTGTGCAACCTTTAATACAGGAGGGCCAGATACAAATAACTGTGTGAAAGCGCGGCCGCACCTTTATTCAACATAGGCTTTCTGGAAAGTACATGCACGAAAACTAGTTTATTTTTGTTATTTGATCCTATGGCATTATTAAGAGTCTTTTCCCGATCACCAAATTTGCTTCAATGGAAGTGCTAGCAATTTAAGTCCATTTTCCAAGTGTTTGTCTGTCAGAACAGATCAATACAAGGATTTCAGGACACCCAATTTAGAACAAAATTTCTTGCACACTTCTTCGCGGGCTGCACAGTTTTTCTTTGTGGGTCACATTTGGTCCGCGAGCCGCAGTTTGCACACCTGCTTTAGATGATTGTTAACTATGGATTAAAAAATTCAGTGATAATTTGCATGGCCAGGGACTAGGTGCACTGAATAAAATCATTCAATATAAGTTTAAATCAAGTTATCTTATTAATGACAAGAACAAATACATGTCAAGGCTGTACCATCGTAATGCTACATTGTTTCAGGACCTTTTGGCATTTCATCCTATAACATTGCTCAAAGATGTGTCTTCTTTAATTCTGAGTGAATGTGAGTGGTTTTGTTTTGAGATAATTCTCTCAGATAAAAAAAAGTCCAGTCTTTCCAAATAATAGGGTTTTAAAAAGTTATGTAACTAAGTTGTTAAACCTAAAATGCTATACAGTGAAACCACTTAACCTGAATTTACGAAAGACCCATAATACGAAATTTCCATGTTACGAAACATATTTTCGTGGAAATATTGCTCCGAATAAGGAAAGATGCTTCTAAATAAAAAAGGGTCAAAAACTGAAAATGTAAACAACGTGCTGCTGGCTGTTTGAGCGGATGGGCAACTCAGTCAGAAAGCGGCACGCCAGAACTGCTCTGCCATAGGCTGACGCCTAGCAACTTCCATCCATCTCACCGTCCTCTCACTTAACACAGTCTTCACTTGGCACAGCCTAGTCAGACACAGCCAATAGTAAAGCAACATACCATTTGTAGTTTCTATTCGTTTTTTCTGTTATTTCTTTTTGCCATGTGTTTCTTTTCTATTTACTGTGCAGTAATCTACGGTAATTCTAACATTTATTTGTTCCAGGTTTTGACCATTTTTTATAATTTATACAAATATTATGTTCGAGTTTTGTGGGGGCTTAAAACAGATTAAGACATTTCTAGGGTAAAATGCATTTCTACTTTTCTGCTTACAAAACTGCTTCTGGAATGAATTAATTACGTAAGCAGAGTTTCTACTATACAATTTAAAATAATCAAAAGCATAGAAATTGGGTTTACTTTTCTTTCTATGTGATCCAGCTTGAGACTGCACTCCCTTATAAACGTCTCTCAACTTAGATAACTGTTGTTCATGGTCTCTCCTTCTTTCATTTGCAGAAGTTTTTTTGTCACGGAGAGATTCAAGATTGACTTGTTGTCGCGCAAGTTCTTGTTGAACTCCATACAGAGTGACACCGACCTCTTCTCGTTTTGTCTTTTTTCGTTTCACTTCATCCATCTAGAATAGAAGATGCCAAATTGAATATAGAGGATTTCTTGATGTGTTAACAGCTTTTTATGGTAAGTTTTGAATGAATCGTAACAAATATTTAGTATACTCTACTCATTTTTATACACTCTTGTTCATTAATAAGATGTTAGACACAGGTTTTGAGGCTGCATTTTAGAATATAGACTACTCAATGCAGTAATTTGTGATAATTTAATTTCTAGTTTTCCCCATATGTACTGTTTTTAATCAATTTTCAACATCATAATATACTATTATTGTAAATCTTTTATGAGATTTATTAATTGCTGTAAAGATAGTGGAAAGATACATAAAAATATGGCAACTGGAAATAAGTGCATTGACTACTGTAGGTGATAACATTAACTAAAAATCTTTCTATCAGCTCCCAGTTTTTCTTCTAACTTATATGGGTCATTATAGTTAATAAAGGCTAAGAAAAAGTATATGATACCCGGTAGTCGAATAACTGACTTTATAAGAATAAAAATCCTTGTTTGACCAGACCATATATATTTTCAGAAATTGCAAAGACAGAAAGTTCATCTATTTGATTTTTAATTTCATTTTCCAACTGTTCCATATAAATTTTTGGTATATTAAAGAGTAGACTCAATATTGTCTTTTCCCATATACAAAATCAACATACCAATTCCTTTTTCTCTAATTTAGCTTTCTCAAGTTGTTTTGCAAGTTGAGTTTTCAATGCAGCTTGGAATCTTTTCATCAAGGGATGATCAGGATCAAGAACAACTAAATCAGTCTCTATATCTTCTCTCTCATCACCTGATCCAATATCCTTGAATAAATAATGAATGGTAAATATCAATTTTGTATAAAGAATTGTTTTCTTGCAAAGCATCCTAGTTGAATGTATTCATAATTCAAACATAAAGTTTTGTTCGAATAAACTTTTCTCAAAACTCAAACAGAATTAAAGATTGACTGAAAATGTTTAATTATGTGAATAATTTATATTCAAAATTAAGTAGCTTAATATTAAAAATTATTCAATTAAAGATTGTGACGGATTCAAAGTTTGACATTTTAGACATTCATTCAATGATATATCATTCAAAAACATTAGATAATTCAAGATATTGCAAAATATTTGATGCCAAGAGGTTCTGTCCACATGAAAATAAAAATATCATCATTCAGAGACAATTAATTTTCATTTAGAAATATATGTTACTGAAAAGTTCTCAAAATATATTGAAATTTTTAAAATCAGCTACATGCTCTCCATCTTCACTTCCCATTTCATCTTCTGATTCTGTATCAACTCTTGCGAGTCCTTCTCCAATATTTCTCAGCAAAGTACTTGTATCCCCTAAAATCAAAGTTATATATTTGAAGGTCCGCTAAGAAACTCAGCGAGAGCTCACAAGTGGTTGAGAGCATCGAGTAACCATATTATGGTTAAAATATTAGTTGTTGAAGCATACGATTTAAATAAAAATACACAGTTCTAAAGTATTCTTATGACACATTCGACTAAAATAAGTTATTGGAAAAGAATATAACAAAATTATACCCTGTGTTGCACTACTTGGTCTACTCCTCCGTCCATCGTCTTCACTTTCAACTGTTGGTAGAACTGGATGCATCATATCTTCATCCCCAGTGGGTGAAGGATTGCTGAAATGTAATTGGTATAGTAAAAATACAATTCATAAATGGAGAAATAGAAAAAAAATGAAGTCAGCAACATTTTGAAAAACATTTACCATCGGTTCCATGCATCTGAAATTAATAATGGTTTACTATTCCCGTACCAAATACGGACTGCTAACCAGACAACAGGTGATGGTTAATCATATCATAAAAACAACTTATTGGGTTTCCTATTCCAAGGATAAATAGAGTTAATATTTAAATCCCATCCTATTGATATTACAGTATTAGAGGGAATTTGGTAAGTACCTTGCTGATTCTGCCATTTTTATGTTTCTGTGTGACAACTATCTTCAGTAATTATCAATGCAGCAGCTGCTGCTGCTGTTTATGTTGAGAAGCAGCACAAAATCAAATTCTTTCATAAATTAATATGTAAATGCTGTAAATAATGACAAGACAGATGATTTATATTGAACTATGCTAGGTACATAAATGATAACACACAAATGCACAAAACAAACAGACTAAGATTTAAACACAGAGGCATATAACATAAAAGTACCACATAGAAAATCTTGCTAAGATAGAAGTACTTTAGGTATGAAACTACACAAGACCCGAAATGGCTTTCAAATTACTAGAAATTTCTCAATTTTATTTTTAATGGGATACTTTTAGAAATTTTGTTTCAAATCATTAGTTTTTTGTCATGAGAATTGTGATTATATATGAATGTGTCACACACGCAATGGGAATATACATACATTGGTGAAAATACAACCGAAAAAGATAAACACCAACGCATATTAACTAACCAATGCATCAAGTGCAGTTTTAAGTATTCTGTGGTGTCTGCAGCTGCCGCAAAACCATGGCGGTATTCCCATACCATGGCCGCTACGGTCAAACCTATGGCGACTGACTTTTTAGCTGCCACAAACCAATGACGAGCTGCCGTAACCGTGGCAGCAAATTGAAAACCAATGGCAGGTAAAATTTTGCTGCCGTAACCACGGTAGGTGGGCTGTCCCCTATGGTCACAAATATTGGGTAAGTTGGAACGTTTTTCTTATGAATACAGTTTTGATGGATTTGGGGTTAGGGTTTAAGTAGATATAATTCCACATGATCAATTGAAATCGGGTACATTAATTTGAACCATGGCAAGAGCAGCCGCGGTTCGTTCTTGGCAGGAGCTGCCATGAAGTGGTACGAACTGCGCCTCCAATGCCTTCTTACTGCAGTTACTGTCTCACATTGTCTTGAAAACCAAACTAAAACATTACATAATGACCATGAACCTAAATAAAGTTGGACTGTAAAATTATGCGCCCTTTTCTATTTTCCGATACAAGTCAAGACGATCAAGACAATAAAGATCTTTCAAAATATCAAATCTCAAATGAAATCATCGAGAGCTCGCTCATTCACCAGATCGCCGTACAAAAAACAACAAAACCTCGTCGGCGTTTCCCGTAGCAACAAGAAAACAGTGGGGTCAAGGTTCAATATTTTCACTTTATAGAATTCCTTTAAGGGCGCAAGAGAGCAACATTATATCTTGACAGACAGGTACCGTATGTTATTCTGTTCGTTCGCGTTGTTTTTATTTGGTTTCTCGGTCTCTGTGGGCGCTTTGGCTGTCTGACCGCGTTGTCTATCGAAGTGAGTAGAACTCCATTTCACACGACTTGTCTACAGACCGTTAGGCACTGGCACTAAATACCTATGAACTGTGAGACCAACAGACGGACACACACGTCAGCTGGCGGACAGTGTTTTTCTTTCAGTCGATTTAGATGCATAATATTAAAGTTAAAATTCCTATTTTTTATTTTTAATTGTCTAACAATCTGACAGTACAATCAACAGATTAATATAGCGATATGTATAAAAACGAATATCAAGGAGGGCCGTCAGTTGAAATATTGAGTTGTCAAGGAAAAGACCCTTTAAATAAATGGAGAATATCAGGTGGAAGTGGTGCAGCGAAGAGAATTTATGAAAAAGACTTGAAGAGTTTTGTTTATCACTTAGAAGGGAGCACAGCTACAAGCAAATTACAGCTCCCAAAAGATGGAACAAAGCAGACTTTATTTTTGACACAAAGGTAATTTTTTTACAAAGGGAAAAATAAAATAAATTATACTAATTATGAAATAAAAACATTGTAAGTGTGAATCACATTATAGAAGTATAGCCACTGCTGTATATGTAATACAATTTGAAATGAATATTTTTTGAACAACACAAATATAGTCTTCAATTGTCCAAATATTATATCTAATGAATTGTAATTTCATTTCAGATATTTGACGTTTCAAGTTTTCATTCCTTTTGGGAAAGATTTTTCTGTTGAACTATCAATGACAGATTCAACAAACAGCAAACGTCGTCTGTTGATGTCAACATCTATCCGAGAAATGTCAATCACCCCACTCCATGCCAAATTAAACTTATCTATCATAATAAGAGACAATTGGTTAAATTTATGTTTTGACCTTGTATCCTTACTTTCTGACATTTTTCTAAAACAAAAATTCAAGTCGCTCGATTCAATCGTTGTCGCCGGAAGCTGTAAAATACGAAAAATATTTACGATGCGAAATCAACCACCAGATACAACAGAATCAGATTCGACCACAAATTCACCAATAAATGGATTAGGAGATGCCCAGCATGGAAGATTTCAACTTGAAAATGTTCCGCCAAACTTACAATTTGCAAGCACAGTGGCTTATATGACACAGGTAAACCTATTTATTTTTCAAGTGAATTCAAACTTTTATAATTCATTAAAACACCTTTGGAAAAACACACCCACTCCGTTTTGAAATAACAAGTTAGTAATGTTACAGTTCGAGTTAGAAATGATTTGGATATTTAAATTTCCAGCTCAATCTGCATTCGTAATCCTAACTGAATATTTATAATTTATTTATTTTGAGTGTTGGCAAGGCCTTTGTACAAAAGATTCCAAGTTTTCCACCATTTGTCTTGAATATTGCTAATTTTACGGAAACTTTTTAGTCTATGTATTCGAAAGGCTGTAGTCAAAAAGCCACACACTTATTTGACATCCATAATTATTATATCATTGGCGTAGTGGACAGAATGTCACTGCCGTATCGTGCTTTATAACATTTGATACAAGTCTTTTACCATTTGTCTGGAATATTGCTGATACTATTTGACCTTGTTCGTCAATTGCATTCTGTTTTCATGTATTCTAATGTCACTGCCGTATTGTGTATATACATCGCTATGTTTTATTTTTGTCTTTAAAGCCACTGAATGAAAATTTTTGTTCATTTTATTTAGGTCATCACAGTGAAAAAAGTACAAGATCACATGAAATCGCATCGCCCAGATTTACGGGAAACATCTGGATATTGTTCTTCATCCAGTGATGATTTAAATCAAAGTTGGCAAGTGAGACATGGATCAAAAATTTCTGCTCGTGACATTCCACAACCTGCAACACACATTGCATTTGGCACAAGAGTTCGTCTCGATTCAACCGGAAGTTCATCAGGAAATAAGACTAGCAGATCTTCAAAAAATTCTGCTCGAATGGAGCGCACAGTCAGCAATTCATCGTATCCCGCTGGACCAACTTTCAAAAAACCTTTGGAAGTTCGAAGAGACAAGCAAAATCAAAATAATAGTTCTAATCTTATTTCTGCACGGGATGATCCTGTTGTTCCGAGCCCGCCTCCTTCTGCGCAGTCACTTAATATTCAGAGAAATCCAAGAACGAATAGATTGAAGTCTCCTATGGCTAGAAAAAGCATGAATCATTCTACTAGCAATGAGTCAGCAAATTCGATACAATATTTGCCAACGTCACTCGTAAATCTCGTTGATGAATTAGAAATTGTTGGTGAAAGTAGTGATGATGATTCTGGAAAAGATAATGACAGTGTATTTACCTTTTCATCGAGACCGCACATTGCACATAGAAAAGTCGACGATACAGTTTCACCAGAATTAGTCATCGATCGAACACATTTAACCAATCACAACGGGTATTTAGATGAAGATTTTTTGAGGTCCGATAGCTCTGATTCTGATGAAGATATGGCAAAGAGAATAATAAGAAATACACCAAGTCCACGTTCAGGAATTGTACGGAGTGCTAGTCCTAGGGATATGATACACAAATCGTTGACGTCTTCACCAAAAGTATCTGCAGAACAAATTAACCATTCTATTAGAATTCCCAAGAGCACAAATATTTCATCACCGAATCGCTTATATAACAGTGCTAAATATACAGAGAATCCTGTGCAAGGTATGAAAATACTCATGGTATTATAATATATTGCCACAGTTTGAAAATTAGCCCTCAAATTAGTTTGTCTTGTCACATTTTAAGTTTACGAGAAAATCGAATTTTTTTGATAGTTTTGATTTAACAGCAAAACCCAAAAATGGGCAGAAGGCACTACCTAAAATCAAAACTAAAACAGGTATAGCTTTGAAACCCAGACCAAGAGATGGCACCTGGCCCACATTAACAGAAATCAGAAAAAGTCCATTTCTGAGAAATGTGACATAAACTACTTTGTTTTACTGCGAAGATTTGGCCTTTTATGTTATGCCATTCTTGATTCCAAACGTTCACTAAAATCTCACTTATTGTAGAATGTTCTAGTTTGAGGATTCATAAATCGTAATAATAATTAATACTAATCACTCGTTACACTCTGTCAAAATACACATGTTTGATTCTGGATTTTTGTTGTTGTTCTAATCCAAGATGAGCTTATGTCGGAAATAGTAATACTATCGTATTGGCCACCGTGTCAGTGGCAATGGTGAATATCATTATTACGAAATTATTTGGCACTTTTTATTTTATCATTATTTGAGTTAAATATTAATACATTTTTTTACTTTTTACATCAATTATTGTTAATGATTCCAATATATAGCATAAAACATTACGAAATTATTGACTCTTTTCATCCAATTGAAATACTATAATAATACACATAGTCACATGAATGATCTATTTTCTCAATTAAATAAAATGTCTCATTTCATTCATCAGGAATGAGGCAGCTTTGCCAAAATTCTCTATATTTCTTAGTGATATTTCCTGACATTGACTGGTAACCGGACGAGAGGCTGTGGTGTGTTATATGATTAAGCCGTCTTATCGACTTTTCTCTCACCAAGATATAAATATGTTATTAGAATCCTATACTATTTATAAATGTAAAAATTCTTTATGACAGAAACCAAGAAATCTATTATCGCCAACAATCAATCTCCTTCTGTTGCAAAATCAATTGTGAACAGAAGTATTGCTTCTCTGAGAGGATCGGATGCAACATTGACTGAATCCGTTGATACTCTTGTTCATAATTCTATGACAAAAGAAAATGAGTCTGATGTTTATCCAGATGATAGTTTAGAAGTTAACAATTCCACACAATCAAGGGAAATGAAAAGTATGTAATTTGGAGGATTATGATAAGAATGGTAGATAAAATAGCTTGTATGTTCAGGTTTTTTCTTATTCGTTTTGGAGATTTTGATCCTTTTTATATTTTTACATTTCGAGCCTATTATACCTGGAACTAAATTTAGATAGATCAGATATCCAGTGTTATGGGAGATTCAACTTTATTTATATACTTGATCAGAGTTATCTAAATTAAATAACAAATGGTTTGACTCAAACTTTACAAACTGCCAGCCTGCCAGGAAGAAGATAATTTTAGGCAAATCTTTGATCATCAGAAAGAATTCAGTGAAATATTATTAACTATGTCGATGTATGTAAAAATTGAATATTCAGCAACTTTTTAAGCCAAGGTTGAAGTCTTGTATTATCATTGTCAATGCTACACATGTTTATCCATTCCATTGTTGCTTATGAATCAGACCGGGCACTCAATGCTCAGTGACTTGACTTATGACTCCAGAATGCAGTGACATTAAAAATTGACTGGAAATCTGATGACTATATTTGACTCGCGACTTGGGAAGCCGTACTCAACATTGATCAGACCCACGTTGCCTGGGAAAATCAATTTCTTTTACCCTGTCTGAGTTCAGCTTCAGGATCAGATGCCTGATCCCCATCTACTGCATTGAAATTGTTATTTGTTAGACTTACACATCAGCTATTAGAATATTGTACCATACCAGAAAATGTAGGGTGATTTCTAGGGCCCGACCGATATATCGGCCGGCCGATATATCGGCCTTGTTTTTCACAAATTTTGAACTATCGGTATCGGCTAATTTTACCGATAGTTATTGGCTAATCACGTGACTGCCAAAGTGTCAAAATTGGTGGCATGACAATGCTTGTCGATTTCCTATCTTAGCTATATTGGCCAGAAAATACCTTTCGGCACCACCAACATCTGTTCCAAGTGAAAGAGTATTCAGCACCGCTGGGAATATCTATGCAGATAACAGATGTTCATTGCTTGGAGCCAATGCAGAAAAACTCTGCTTTCTCAACTATAACTTGAGACTGTTAAACTGGAGCTATTGAGATTCCATAAACTTACATAAGTGTTCTTTCTTTTTCACCATGCACACAATTTTCTTCAGCACTGTGGCTTTACACTGTTTGTTTCTAATATAAGGCGTTGAAAATCGCTATTCTTAAAAAAACTTAGTGATGCACAAATTTGCATTTTTTTATAATCATTGCATGAGTTTCAACATTTATTTCTTTTGCAAGAAAAACACAGAATTCTCAGAGTGTTGTTTGTTACTTGTAGCAATTTTTTTATGTGAAGAAACATCGTTATCGGCTTATCGGCCTAGTTTTGGAAAACTAGCAGTATCGGTATCGGTTCAAAAAGGCAGTATCGGTCGGGCCCTAGTGATTTCAATAGCTCTACAGTCCCCAATATAAAAACACTAACATATACCTGACTTTTTTATTGTATTTCAGATCTATCCGAAGCCAAAGATATACCTACATTATCTGAGTTCAGTCCTCAGAGAGATTTTGAACTCACTTCAGACTTATCACCCAAATCTGAAGGCAATGTGAGCCATCGCAGTGTTACAATCAGCAGAAAAACATTGAGAGAAATTCCGCATAAAAGTGATAGGATTAGTCCAAGGATTGGAGAAAAACCTGAATCAAGCTCATTTCAGGTTTGTTATTTCCTATTTATATGTGTCATTGAAAAATTTATCATGTTGCCTATTACAAGTTCTTATTTTTTCTCTCACTTTTATCTCCCAAACCAGGGGTGTACAACTTTTAATACAGAAGGGCCAGATACAAATAACTAGGTAAAACCGTGGACGCACCTTTATCTAACATAGGCTTTCTAGTAGTTGCAAGCGCAAAAAGTGAAATACAACACACACTATGAAATACAACACACTAAATATTTGCTATTTTCAAGTTTTTGTTCATGTTGGATAATTTTCACTTTCGAACTTCAAAATGATGTAGTGAATTATCTGACGAGATATCAAACGATATTTTTATTTTGCCCATTGCTATACGTAGCAAGAGCCGAATTTCACCCTATAACAGGGATGCTAAACCACTGATCACAAAGTGACCCGCTATGTTTTTTCAATTACCCGCTAAGTTACAATTCAATGTGAAAAAACATGCTAACATCATAATTGATGATTGTTCTTGTTAGTGGGATGTGACACATGAGCCACAAGGAATAAATGTTAAGGAATTTTAGATCATTTTGAATTTTTTTCTACATTGGGTAAATTAATTCTTGTACTTGAATGTTTTCTCGGAATTGTAACATACGTGACCGGTAATATCTTAAACAGTTGAAAATATGCCAAATTTTATTTGACACAAAGACAACTCCAATGCTGAGAAACAAATAACTCTATTGCTCAACTTGGACCTTAATTGCTAAACATAAAACATAGAGAAACTCATAACTTTTTATCTCGGTCTCCCACTGCTAATTGCCATAATTAAGAAATCGTAAATTTTATTGAATCTTTAACATGCGGAAGTAACCCCCATGGTGTAACAATAATTAAGACGAAACCTTACAGAAATATATTTGCGCAGCATGACTTAAATCAATTAGAAAAGTGAACAAGAGTGACAATAATGAAAAAACGTGTTGAAATTTGTGCAGTGCATCACATGCTCATTCACAATGAGATCTATTAAATGTTTTAAATGAGCTCTATTGAAATTACCACCACAGTATACTTTGGATCATGATGAAATCAAATCTATGCATTGTAGTGTTTGTTCAACTAATTTTCTATTCTATTTATTGAATGAATTGTATTTTTGGGATAAAGAGATTATTTGTTGAATCGAATTGCTGATTGTTTACGCTGGATGTGATTATAATGTCATGACATTTTCAAGGTTATTACCGACCGGTCAAATTATCACATCAATATCATTAAAACTTGTTTTAAAAGCCGTCACAAGGGAATTTCGGAGCCACGGTGTTCTAATTTTCACATTCTGAGCAGCCTGGCTTTGCCCCTGTATACCGACAACAATGACATAAATTGTCCCAGACCGCAACAGGCCCAGGGTATCCTTTCAGGGGTTGCTGTATATTTGGGGGTATACTAGAACTAGATGGTATTTTGCAGTTTATTATTTTTCTGTTTTCAACGCTGGTTACTTGGTTAGAAAACAAAATTATTGAAGAAAAAATCTGAAATAACAATAGGGCAAGGTAGTACCGACACTATTGCGGTCCAAGGCGGTTACATATCTATGACCCACAGTCTTCTGTTTCATGATAAGATTAAAATTTTTGATGGATCCATTAAAAAAGGTTCGCCATCCGTGCTTTATATCATGCAATGAAAGTAATGATACTCTAGACCGGGGCTACTCAACTGGCGGAGGACCGCGGTCCGAATCCGGACCTTTCGGGTATTCGATTCGGACCGCGCATAATTCTTTTTTTTAGATCATTAGCCCCACTTTTGGAGTTCCCTTTTATAAAATCACTTTTAAAGATTTAAAATATATATGAAAAGAACTATAACGCCATAACGAACAATGTTGATTAGCTAATAATCATTAGTCGGCCGAGGAATTGCATGTTTAAGGATGCTGAAATATAATCTCTGGAAAGTCCGGTCCCAAATATTTTTGAAGTTTTGTATGCGGACCTTCGGTAAAAATAGTTGAGTAGCCCTGCTCTAGACTAGAGGAAAATAACCCAGAGCCAGAGTGTATCAAATCGAATGCATGGGGTATTATATCACATCAGGAAAGTTTCAGTTACTCTTGACTCTCGAGGTTGGTTTCTCCCCACTTTCAAGTGTGCATATAACATTTACGTAAAAGTTTGTTTTTCTACTAATATATCTAGGTTGGATCATGGAGTGAATCTTTCGAAGGTCACATGTTATCTAAAATGAAGAGAGAGCAGGAGGAAGAAATGACGCAAGAGGAAGAGAGAGAAGCTTTAAGAAAACAAGCTTCAAATACAGGAGGAGGATTGCACACTGGAGGTTTCAATGGGAATCTAACATATGAAGATAATGAAAGCGGTGATGAAAGTTTTGATGCAAGTTGGAGTACTTGGAAACAACCTCCTGCTATGGATTCAGAGGTGATTTGTTGGATTTAATCTCATTAATGTACGAGTCATATAAGCTTTCTTGTCATTTTATAGTTTATATACACATGTCGTGATTACTTTGGTTTTTAATGTTTCAGCTAAAAATAGATCAAGGAATTCGTTAAAATTGCGATTAAATTAAGGCACGAGGCTTATTGTGTTCCACATTTGCTTTTATAATACTGTAAATATTGTTCATGAAATGTAACTTTTACATCACACTTACATGACTCACCAGTCTTCATTGCTCCAGGTCCAAAAACCTTGCCCAAGCCTCTACTAACACTTATTGTTCAGGCATATGCTGGAGAAATGGAAGGATCAGTTCCACCAAAGAATATGGATACTTTAGCGATATCACTGAATCAATCCAATCCTAGAAACTGGGCAAATTTGTTGAGTCCACCAATTGTCTTGCCTTCTGAAAGAGCAAAGCAGGTTCGTTTTTCAAGTTGTCAAAATTTGAGGCAAAATTTTCGTGGTAATTTCAAATTTTAAAAGACAAACATTTATTGCGACCGATGAACAGAATTATAAGCTTTAATATCATTCCTTCATAGTCTAGGGTTTTCGCAAATATAGCAGAAGATATTTAAGAAACACATAATATAATTTTTTCTTTTGCTGTAATTTCGAGCATTATTGCAGCAATATTCCATTTCAAGCAATATGTAATGAAAAACATAACTATCTGTCTTTCTAACAACCAGAAATTAAGCATTACCTTTTTTAGTTTATCTTAAATATGAATAATAATAATAATTTTGGAAAAAATGTATTTTTTAATAAGCCCCCAAAATACCATTGGTTCTGATTCATCCTTTTAGAGCAATGGTTCTCAAACTTTTAAGATCTGTGGCCCATTTTCATATATTGTACTCTTAACAGTTGTGGGCCCCCTACCCTTGGATAAAAATAATCCAGCTTTGCGGTTAACGAGTTCCACCAGTTACAGTAGTAAAAGAGTAAAGCATTATCCATTACAGTCTAAGAATCAAACTTATCACAATCCATTTTTGTTAAATGATGTAGTCATTGTGAATGGTAGTACGTAGCGAATGCCTTTGCTAGGACTTTCGAAAGATCTGCTTCGTGGCCCCAAAGGTTGACCCTGGGCCCAGTTTGAGAAGCACTGCTTTAAAGCCATGCGCACAGTTATTCAAACATGAAGAGATTAAGATATATTTTCTGTATGCACAATATAGATAGTAGGGCATATGATGAATAATATTTTGTACTGTGTCATCTATAGGAAAAAGATGCTTTATCTGATGTAGAATCAGGAGGAAATGTATCAGATGCCTTAGGATTATCTGACGGAAGTACTGTGAGTGGGCACAGTACATCAGTACAGGAATCTGATGATGAAGAAATGCTGGATCTTATGTATGATCCATGCTTAAACTGTTATTTTGATCCAAAAAGTGGGAGATATTATGAACTCAAAGGGTGATTTTGTATTCTCTTCATTTGTATTATAATTTTAATAGATTTAAATGGTTGTCATATTTCTGGAAATATGACTTTAATTTTGTCATATATCTTTCCTTTTGTGTTGTATCAAAATGTATCATAAATATTTTTCTAGTGGTAAAATATGTTTGCTGTCTTACCTACACTTTTTATATTTTGTAGTACCCGGTAAAACTATTTACCGTTATTCATTTTTCGCCAGTTCTAATTAAGATTTATAGAAATTTGTTGAATGTTGGGACATTCCAATTTATCAAGCAGAATTTAATGATGTATTGCCAATATTTGTAACTAGTTTCTTTCTGAAGATTGACAAACTTGAACAATTTTTTGACTTAATATTTTTTCGCGTTTTCAATTCTATTCCTGAACTTTCATGTTCCGAACAGTAAATAATGCCTTATAGTAATGTAACATTTTTTCGTTAGTGTGGAAATCATCATTGCATTGCGATTGTTTTTTCATCGGACACTTCTATCCCATCTAACCATGGAGCCGTTTATTAGCAGCCAACTACTAGACATAACAGACTACCCAATGACTGTGTCTTCACATTCTGTAAAACCTCCCTAATTTTGTACATGCTTCTGGCAAGAGATTGGGAAATTACCCCATGACACTGACTTGAATGTTCAGAATTTCATCCCCAAATTGTTTTTCGTTACAATTTGTAATTTGCTAAAATATTACAGGTGTTCCCAAAATAAGCCCGAGTAGTATGGATGTGATTTGTGGGCTTGTTTTTGCCTATCTTAACACATATTATTATTAGCGTTCAGCGCGCATATTTGGTGCCTATTGTTATTATCTAGTTTTTTCATATCTTGACTTTTTGGCTGCTATATATATATATATATATATAATACAATTTTATTTTTGTCACTGTAATCTTGATTCCATTTTATTACGTTGTTGAAAAGTTTATTTTATTACTGTTGTAAATATATATCTGTGCTCTTTCGAACCCCGTGTCAGTTTATTTAAGAATTAGGAACACCCTCGACAGGCGGATAATTCAGAATTTCTTCGTCAGACCGTTTTTCCTTATCTCAGGAAAAGATAGATATTTTACAAGACGTTGCGATGACATAATGTATACGGTACCGACGCCACTGGTAATAACAATCTAAAATGCTAAGAAGCTATTCTATATATATTCGAAATCGTTGTCGGCATTCCTTCAAGACTTCAATTTCAGTAGCGACCTCATTATGATGATTTGAAAGTGAAAATGCAATTGTACATTTCGGTCACGTGCTCTCCGAAAACACTCGCCATGTGACACTATTATAAAATGCCTTGCAAATATTTACATTGGGCTAATCGGGTTGGAGAGGATAAATCAGTCAATTCCAAGCCCTTTCGGATACTCATTTAGCACCTCATTGTGCTAATTTATCATTATATTTATAACATTATGCCGAAATAATGCTCTTGAAAAATTTGATGACATCAACCGGATGATTGATTGTTTTCTTAAGTTGACAAATTAAAGTTATTTATTTATATCTGCAATGTGTATCTAGGGCAGGCCATAAAATGAAACACTTCTGCTAATTAATCACATATGCTGTATAAATTATTTAAATTCGTTCAGTATTATTACTGTATCTGTCAAAGTAGGATAGGATAGGATTTACATATTTATCCCGGGGAAGTACAGTAGTATATATTTACGGTCAAACCCCTGTCTAAATATGGAATACAAGAAACAAATTGTGCAGTCTAACAAAATAATACGGGGAATTTTTACCACTGTGATATATAGTATCAAAACTAATATTTATCCTTTTTTTTATAATTAATACTATAAAAATATAAATAATGTTCAATCATTATGAATTATGGAAACTACATGATGGACATATCAATGGGATCAATGATGGGATACTATAGTAGAGGGACTAGACAATACAATCAATGGACTGTAATGAAATGTTTTGGTATTTATGTATACTTGGTTATGGTTATTGTTGTTAATTTATTATTTTATGTTTTTTTATTTATAACGTAATCCACATTGTGGAAACATAAAAAATAAAATAAAAAAATACGGGGAATACCCTAGTACCACTTGTTTTCTCCCGGGATTTAAAATACAAAAACTTTCTTCTACGTTGTGAACCAAGGTGGTTTACCAACAGTATTTTTGCGATTACGATCAAAGCGTTTTGTACTTTTAGGTGCATGAACACGGAATAGCCAGTCAGAAATATATCATTCAAAATTTTGAAGGTGTAGCAGTTAGTCGATTACCGTATATTGTGGTAGGTGATTAAATCGCGCCTCGGCATGCATTTCAATCTGTCAGTAGCACAGTGCGGCAGTACCCGTACAGTACCGTCTGCACGTACCATAACTTATGCCAGTACAGCAGTATGCGTAAATGCAGAAATGATAAAGTGCAGTAGTGTGAATAAAAAGTAATGAAATGCAAAGAGCCGCAATTTTTATAATACTCTACTCTACTGACTCTAGGAAGAATAAGTTACCGAATATTGGTTGGTTTTGTCTTACTCACTGCCACTGACCCACCTTCTTACTCTTGTCAGTCTGTAGAACAGTAGAATGCTCAGAAAATATTGAAGTTGCACAAACCAAAAAGTTTAGGATCATATTACAGTAATGCACTAATCAGTACTGTAATGTTTATTCTATAGTATTTTGTTTTCTATTTGTATTGCTTTACCTCTGTTCATACAGACATATCTTTATCCTTCTATGATTGATCTGCTGGAGAAGACCAAGAAAATGAGGTTACTCAGTTGGGCAGTTATTTTTGTAGCTATTCATGGTAAGCAGTTTCATCCTGTATTCATATTCTATTGATGAAATTTTGCTTATCATACACACGTCCTAAGATCATTGATTGATTGATCAGTATATAATTTATACTACATTTAATAGTCCTAAACTGACATTATTTGCTTAGTTCGATTGAAAAACTGCAGTTAAAACATTTTAAATAAGACACTGTTTTATATTAATCCAAATGCTTTTTCAGTATTGCTAAACAGCATATTATATTAATTTTTAATGTGGTCTTTAATATTCAGTAATCTCAGGAAATGGAAACAGGAAATCGAAAAAAAGTTCAACGGCTGATGAATCGAACTTGCGACCAAGGGATTTAATTCATGAAACACTGAGATATGATCGTCCTAATTCTCCCATGCTGCAATCAGTTCTTGATGAATTAGTTCGTATTTATGAAAATACAATTAGTCCACTTGAACAAGTTTATCAATATAATGACTTGTCTGTGAAAGGAGAAATGACGGGTAAATAGAATTTTTTATTCGAGAATTAGTGAGTTTCAAACAAAAAAGAACTATATGTGTTCAATCATCTTTGTTTTATGTGTCCTGCCAAGTGTTAACTATTAGGCGCTCCAGAAGTATGTGAACCTATATGGAGGTAACTAATTTTGTTCGCCTATTTTACTTCAAGTTGTGTAAAGAGACTGAAACCTATGGGCAGGGGGTATATTCACTTAGCTAACACAGACAGTCTACTAACTCATAATAGAACTAAAAAAAGGAAAATCTGAATAAAATTATGGCCTCGCCCTAATCTGGTACACTCACTACGGTAGTATCGAGATTTCAACTTTCTCTGAATTCAGGTTTTGTACCAGGTTAGGGGTCAGGTTATGCGACATCTTGGTGCGCATACTTCAGGAGTACCGAAAAAAATATCGATTGGCCTGTCATTTTCATTTTAAATTCGCTGAATTGTGGCCAAAAAATGCAGAATTTCATAATGTAACTATATTAATAAACTTGTTCTGCCAAGTGTCAACAGTAGTTCCTATGTAGTTAGCCTCTTTTCCTTACAGATTTAAAATAAACAAAGCTTTGATTTTATTTCTTTTTCAAGTTGGTCAGATCAAGGCCAGACCGATGGTTTTGTTTCTTGGACCATGGAGCACTGGTAAAACAACTATGATCAATTATCTACTTGATAATGATGTTCTGAGAGTAGGTATGTCTGATACTACATAGTTTCATCAGTTGCTGTATAATATTAAATGCTCATTCTTAGAAACCTTGAAAAATATCTTGTTATTTTCCATACTTTTTCAGTGCTAAATTTTTTTTGTGTTCTCGTTCTGTTTAAAAAGTATGCAATATTGCCCCCTGCATACATGTTTGTATTCAAGTAAATTGATTTAAACAATTTTTATAAAATATGAGCAAGAATATTTAAGTCTAAAGTGAAAAGTTTATATTATATTGATTATCCTATATTTTTATTTCTCAACATTCTTTATATACCATGAAAAATATTCTATTGCACATACATGGGCCAGCCACTTCATTTAACGGTGCTCCTGAAGTATGTGAACCAAAATGGACGGACACCGAACGTAGTATGTGTACCAGGTTAGGATTAGGCCATAATTTCATTCCAATTTCCTTATTTTAGTTCTATTACGAGTTCGGGGACTAGCCAAGTGACTCCCATAGTATTTGTACCTGAAATTATGGTGCTCCAGAAGTATGTGCACCAGATGGCGCACAACGTGGTACACCTACTATGTTCAGGTTGTGCGTCACCTTGGTGTACATACTTCAGGAGCACCGAAATTATTGCCTAACTCTAACTTGGTACACGTATTACGTTCCCGTTGTCCGCCATCTTGGTTCACATACTTCGGGAGTACGTCATTTATTAACATCATTTTATTTTTCTGTAGGTGCAGAACCGACGACTGCCGAATTCACAATTGTTAGTCATGGGGAAAAAGAGAAAAACACAGAGGGTGTTGTTGTAGTTTCAGAGAAAATGGAATATTCAGCTTTAGAAAAATTTGGGCAACATTTCATGGAAAGATTTTCAGGAGTTGAATTGCCACATCCTCTTTTGAAGAAAGTAACATTTGTTGATACACCAGGTTTGCAATACAGTACCGATACATCAAAATATACTGTTTTAGTGATAACACATTTGTAAAAAAAAATAATTACTACATCATGTTTTTAAAGGTATTATTGAGAATAGAAAACAACAAGAGAGAGGATATCCATTCAACAAGGTCATTCAATGGTTTATTGATAAAGCTGATTTGATATTCATTGTGTTTGATCCCACTAAGTTGGATGTTGGTTTAGAACTTGAAACATTATTCAAACAACTTAAAGGAAAGGAATCACAAATAAGGCGAGTGAGTTTAACTTGTATAGAAAATTCCACGATGTGGTGTGGCTCATCGTGCGAAGCGTTAGGAACACGCTCGCCACCCGTCTCCGATTGCCCTGCATGGGTTTGCAGTAGGGATGGGCAATATAGAATACCGAATCCCAAACTATCCGGTGCAAACCCTACATATGATTATGACATACTTCGGTGCTCCAGAAGTATGCGCACGAAGATGTCACACAACCTGAATCCTATTTCAGGTGGTGCGCATACTTCTGGAAGTCCCATACTTCTTTATTCAGTTCATGAATAAATCTTTAATCGAAATTCATTTTTCAGCTGTATATCAGATGTTGTGTCCTTTTCACGAATCATTTCAAATTATTCATTTTTAGGTTGATTCTAAATAAAGCCGACAGTCTTTCGTCTCAAGAACTGATGCGGGTATATGGTGCTTTATTCTGGAGTCTGGCACCTTTGATTAATGTAACAGAGCCTCCTAGAATATATACAGGCTCTTTCTGGCCTTATAAATACAAACCTAGTACAAACACTGCACTTTTCAAACAAGAAGAAATGTCTCTACTGCAGGTAAGTTAAGGATCTCTTTAATCAATATAGTGATACTGCTCTCTGCTAACCAATTTTAATTATCTATGACTTTCTTTCTGGTCTCAGTTTGATGATATTACTGGGGTTCTGCCAGACATACCTTGATTATTTTGTCTTGTTATTCATATAAGCTAAATATGCCAAATTATGTTACAAAAATCAAGAGTTGTTTAAGAAAAAGACAGCATAAAACAAAAAAATCTCTCATGCTATAAAAATGTCAATCATTTAAGCTGGACCAATATGGCAAGCTACAGCCTATCATTTTTTAATCTGATTTTAGACAATGAAATAAGTACCTGCTTCATATTCTATATCCTCTAGACATGGTTTGTAGTCGTAGAAGTTGGTTGTGTTAACACTAACACACAATTGCATCATTCATATAGAAGTCATATTCGAGGAACTGTTCTCGGCAGAAATAGAACTCTGTTCTTTAAAATCCCAAATATGTATTTTATGACTTATTTTACAGGATTTGAATGATGTAATTGAAAATCGACTTGAAACAAAGTTGCTTTTGTGAGACAACATGCTCAGAGAGTAAGAATTCATTCATTATTGGTTGATGAATATTTGACAGCTTACATTAAGAGGAATAGTTTTTTCAAAGACCCTGATGCAGTGAGTATACTGTTATGTTTTTATTTTTTGTTGAAATTTCCTGGCCTTCTTAAAAGTACAAGGAGAAATCTATGAAAATGAGCTGTAAAGTTGTACTGAGTGATATATTTGGTTGGAGTTCAAAAATATCATCTGCAACTAATTCTGGGAACAAGCTCTGAATCCAGAGTCGTACCAAATGCTATAAATAACTAAAATAAACTTGTAATATAGGATTTACATATTTACCTCGGGAGGTAAGCCGCAAAGACAGCTTATCGTATGGCGACCACGGCTTCTCGTCCGATTACCAGTCCATGTTGGGTAGGGATTAATTTGACAGTTATATTCTTCAGATGCATGGACTTGATTGGGGAGGGAGCCAGTAACTGACACGTGAACCACCCTACACGATGAGGAGTCCAGCATCCTCTCTCACATAATGATCCACAGGATTTGAACCCTCGCAGGTTATCAGAGTGCGGTGGCGAGCACACTTCTAATGCTTACCACGATGCGCGCCACACCGCCGAGCATATGTGTCACAATGATCTCCAACATATGGTTGGGCATATGCTGTGTTATTGCTGTAAAGCAAGTAAATTTTGCCATTTTTTGCACAGTAAAATATATGTTATAACATTTTACTGAGCCGTAATTTGAATATTATGACATCACTAGTTTATTGAGAATCTTCATGTGTTGAATATTCTCCTAAGTAATTTTCTGCATAGTCTTTTTTTTTGTATTGCAGATAATAGAAGACTTGGTATCAATCCAGAACATCACAATAATTTTTCAAAAATGTCCTGGTCAAGACACAGTGGTCAGTCAGTTTTGACATGCCTTCACCTTCCCTTTATTTCTGAATTTTTTTCTTTGAAATCCTTTAACAGATTTCAACCTATTGCAAGCAAGTAATTGTCAGAATATTTTAATGGGATGTGAAATTGATAAACTTGAAAATTCTATTTTCAAAACTTTGCCGGAATTACTTTGCTAGAATAACCAGGTCAAACAAAACTCTGGATATTTCCAGATACGAGCTTAGTTTTTTTTTTAACTACGATGCACTTGCCAAAATTTAAACTCTAAACAGTGTTCAAATTGCAACGATAAATTTATGCATTGAGTGGTGACTTATTGGTATAATATTTTTTACTTCGGGCGCGCAAATTTTTTTCAATATTTTAAGTTCCACCGTGCAGTTTTATGCCAGTGCTGCTTTGTTTTTTCCACTGTTACCGGTACTGCTAATAAATCTTCAAAAGTCGGCAATTTTGTACTTGTCAGTGAGCGACAATGCAGATAGTTCCACCAAGAATTTGGAATTATGAATGTTGCTTGCTTTAATCCTTTGCCCCCTTGAATAAGTAGATGATGCCGAAGAGGCGCAGCCAGTGGGGATGCGGGCCGTAAAAATTTTTGAGGGGAAATTTATATTTTCTGCTCAAAAGCTGGGGCGTCATTTTACGGCCTGCGCATCACGTTTTCGTGGTCAGGAGAATATTCTGTGCGATATTGCTATTATAATGTTATCTCTTTAGTTGGCGCTGATATGGACGCTTATCTCCGTAATACTATATATATTTACCATAGGCATAGTTCATGCTGATTTTATTGACGAGCGATGATACAATATTCAGAATCAAGTGAAAAATAAAATTATTCAAATGGCATGCATGGTCTTTTAATGAAGAATTGCCAACTGCAGCAACATCGAAAGAATTTATCTTAAAAGTACATCACAGAAGGATATTTATTCTTTGACGTTTGGAAACCCTCAATGGCGATTGTCGAATCCGCGATAAAGAGGTGCAATTGTTGAATGTAATTCAGTAGGGTGTATTTTCCTTTCTCTCTAGATTCTAGATATAGACGAGAAATGGAACGGATTTAAACGCCGTTTGGGCGTTCAAAAGGAGAGAAGTGGTATATGATAACTTATGGTCTTTCTTTTCAAAATCTCTACACAATCCAAGTCACGGCGCATTGAAAAACAAACTAGACTTCATTACCATTAATTTACAAGTAAGAGTTAAGAGTGAGAATTTACCTACGACTGTCACCCACAGACAGAAACGATTGTTTTCTTTTTGCGCCTATCATTTCAATTCCTAATTTTGCATAAAGCGCATCAACATCATTTTGTGAATTTAAAAACTTCAAACCAGATATAAAGTAAGGCAGGTAAATATTTGATTTTTTGAAAATTTTCCGATACTTTGGGGAAAATATTGCTTTTACCTCTTAGCAATAAATGACATTATTCTCGATTTATTTTAGTATCAGTATTTTAATTCAAAGCTGAGTTGAGTTGAATACTCGATGACCAATCTGCTGAGTTTTTAATTATTATTTAATACGAAAATAACACGGACAAGATATAATATCAAAAGCGCAAAAAAGTCAACTGTCATCTTCATAAGTATCCACTTCCCGGGGTCAGTGATGATAATATTGTTAAAATTGGGACCGTAATTTACAAACTGTGATATATGGAGGATTAAATCTTACGCAGAAGCTAAAAATCAGAATTAAATTGTGTTGAGATTTCACTCCTCACTAGCTTTTTTGATATGTTTGCCAATGTAAAATCATATTTCTGCATGAAATATATATAAAAACCAAACTTCGATGTCCGCCGTTGCGTGAGAAATAATACTTGATTAAAAAAGTGCTTCAATATAGTTTTTAATATATATTAATTGGGATGTTGGCCACCAAAACGATCGCGACAAAAAAACAATCAGCGATTAGAGCAAAATTACCAAGTTTTCTAGTAAATTAAATAAGGTATATTGACAATACTCATTATTCGGTATTAGTTGAAAATGTTCGAATTATGTAATTAAAAAAAAAGATTTTGCCCACCACTAATCACGGCGAATATGAATATCCTAATAAATGACAATAAAAAAACTTTATCGACTCTACTTGATTAACATTAAATTACAAGTAATAGTTTCACATTTCAGGACATTTGATCGATGCAACATGCGAGCTTGTTTTTGTGCATATGAATGATTATAACGCCACTGACATCCGCGAGTGTAATTGTACTTCTCTTTAAAAGTAATTTTCACGGCTTTTATCGTTTATTTCTAAACGCGGTTACTCAAGAAATACTTTCTTATGAATCGGATTGATATTTCTCTACACACAAGAAATTTGTTTGAGAAGCACTGGCATATATCATTCGTTTATTTTCTATATTCATTTTGTTTCCGTTGTATTTCGTGCACATTTAACACGTTCGCGCAAGGCTTGGGTCATGGAGAAGTACTGGCGTTTTAACATTCGGGAGAGTGCAGTTACATTAGTTTTTCTCCGGCAAATAGCTAGCTAATTTATGAACAATGAAGAGCGAAGAACGCGACATGCTAACGCTGACTATGAAATAAAGGTCGACGATTAGTAGATGTTCAAACAATCAAGCAAACGACGCCTGACAAAGGGAGGCGAGCTACACGTAACTCAGGAATTTCGCTCGGGCGACGCTATTTTTAGTTCTTTAAACGCCTTGCGTCGTCATAAATGGCACTCTCGGTGCCCTATTTTAATTTCACTGTTAAACAGTCCTAGCTGCACCCTGATGGCCAATTCACAGTGATTGAATACATACCTGCTTCGAGAGTCGAGACTTTTGTTGCCAACAACAAACAGACCCGGAATGCCAACAGACCTGCCTGCCTAGTAAGCCAACAACCTTTTTGATTTTAAATCCCCAACCTTGATTCATTGCTATTGCATATTGGGGCCAACTTTGCATTAGAAAAATAATTTTGGGTTCTGACTGATGCTATTCCACATTGAATAAAGAAGTCAGTGGAAGACACATAATAATATTTTTATACAGGAACAATGAGCAGGAATAAGACCAGAAAGTGTGTTTGAAACATGAATAGTAACAATCTAGGAACAAACACTGTAAACTGCTATACCCAATAACAATTATACCATCTCTAGGAATTTCATACATTAAATATTAAGTTAGGCAGTTGTGAGATTTCTGACATAATAAATTTGGAACCTTATATCGTACAATGGAAATTTACAAAAATAATTTCAACAATATCAATAGAAAGTTTCGTAACTGGGAGTTGAACAAATATTCATCACATAGCATTTTTATTCAACCTCTCAACTACTGGTAAATATTCTTCTAGCAATCGTGAAAACTCGCTCTCCAGAATGTTAAATCGTTCGTCATTAGATGGCATGATGCTACTGTCCAACTTTTTACCATACTGTTTTGCCGTGAATGGTTGATTGAGTCGTCTCTTCACTTCAAGCCTGTATGGTTGTAATGAATTTTCATTCAAAATATCAGTGTTTTTCAGCCTCAAAATTTCATATATTCTTCTAGTTTGTCTTGCATTAAGCTTCAACTTTTTATTACATTCTTCAAACATGCATTTTGAAAATCCATTCGGCAGTTTTTCAGGTTGAAAGCAGTCAAAGTCTATGCAATTTCGGCAATCAATAAAATCTCGTATTCGTTGAAAATTCTCTGATGGATCTTCAACACATATATCTCTAATGTTCTCTCTCGTCAAGAATAATTTTTGAATAGCATCCAAGATTTCGGTCGCATGGCCCTGACGTTGATATGGTGGTAATATAAGAAATTGACTTATTCTAGGTCTGATATGTTCAGGATAAGCATAAAAGTTGTAAACCGTGCAATATCCCACGAATAAATAAGTACATTTCCCACAGTTACCTGATCGTTTTTCAAAAATGGTGTAATATTCCCATTTTTCATCATCTATGTCTATGTAACTTGCGGCATCAACAAACCAATAAAGAAATGTCTGCATTCTGCCATGATATTCTCGAAAACCTGGATCTTCAATACTAGGATGAAACATCTCAAAAACTTTCTCTGTTCCATCTTTGCATGTTCTGTTATACTGATATACCATCTCACCATGTGGATGGAAATCGGAATCTTTTTGCAGATGAGATGAATACTCATCTAAACTTTGGCAACATCCAGGAAGAAGAACTTCTTCCATTTTTTTGTTAATATTATCCACTTCAACACCAAATTTTTCTGGGTCGATTTTTTCCGAATACTTCATACCAAGATATCCAAATAATTGAGTTGCTGAATAAAATAAATCTATTCTTAGATCTGCGTAACCAAAAATCTGTTCCTTTTCACCAAAGATTTGGTGTGACATGTCAGGATGAAATGTTTTCTTTTCGTTCTCGAAGTCACTCGTATCTTGGATCATTTTGAAACAGATAGCATCATTTGCAGAACATATATATCTATCGATATGATTCTTTAATGCATCAAGGCCTCCGGCAGCCATATTTATATTAGTCAAGCACAGAAATATGCAATATAACTCTATGTTTGAAAAAAATAAATATAAAAATAGCCTATAGGGGGGGGGGGGGGGGTATATTGAGCATATGGGGTTAATTGGGTACAATGTATAAAAACCTCGCTAACTTTTTTGTATGTTGAGTGAATGGTTTATACTTTGTAGCAACAATAGTTCATATCCTATGCTTTCATTTCATTGCGTATAACTCACTTGCCTAACAATGATAAAATTGTTTTAGATGTTTGTATGTGAAATTTTTTTTGTTCGTGAAAAAAATTGTTTTGGAAACTTTCACGTGACACTTTTCTGATAGTATATTTTAAACTTTTTGTGATGTCTTTTAGTACCCTAGTAAAGACTGTCTTTGCCCCAGTAGATAATTTTTGTGTAACTCATTGACTTTTTGTTTTATTGATGTTTGAAAAAATCGAGGTAAATTGAGTCTGTCGGAAATTTACCATGGGGTAAATTGGGTATATGCATCAATGGCCTCTCCCACTGCTATAACAAAGGAATATGAGGTTCTGTGTGACTATTTTGAGCCCTAATACTTTTTTGTAGCCTTATCATGTCCATCTTTCAATATAGGCTTCTATTTTTAATGAATATGAGTGTAAATCCACAATGGGCGATTGTAGGATTTTGAGAAAGCAGTTTTTTTCTTGTAACTGAAAAAATAGTAAAAAGAAAGCTGTGGATAAGCCAAGCACAGAGTCCTACTCCACCAGTGAGCTTAGTGCATTTACAAAGGATTTAGTTGACGTAATCACACTCACTGTCATCTCCGAAAACATGTAGTAATAATAAAAAAACAGCCGTCCCAGAAAAAGATTTCAGGCGAAAACTATATACTGATATAACGTCAATTGAAAGAATATACCATTATACTGATAGGATAGACTTAAAACGGATATGATTGGTAGAAAAAAGAAAAACAGCAAAGAGAAAGATCATAATAATAGTTCAGAAAAGCAGTAACAGAGTCAGAATTAGATTCGACTTTATTGACGACGAGACAGAATATGAAACAGAATTCTCACATAGTACAGCTGATTATAACAGAGGACTAACTATAAGTAGCATATTCTGACATTAATGAAATCAAGACCTTGACTGGCTGGTTGAAATATGGGGAAAGGGAATTCGTTGGCCAAGTTGTCCTCACCGATGTATATAAAATGAACTTTGTATGATAGCAGTGTATGAAAGAGCTCAAAGATTTTGTGTTAGATTTAACCCAAAATAGGAACATAAAAAGTATCTCTATCAAGGAAGTTGTTGGCCAAGTCAAACCACCCATTTCTAGTCCATAGTAAACTTATATTTAAACTAAAAGCCTATTTGTGGTAAAAAGTTTATGGAAACCATAATTGCGATCTATCATACCAAGTTTAAAGTGATGTCAGATAATTATGTTCCAAGGTTTTTGTAATTACTATTTTTTAAAATAAACTATATGTACCCAAGTTTCTCATGAAGGGGTTTGATTTGGTTCTAGGGCTTTCTTAAATTTGATTTAACTGGTAGATGTCAGTATACTCAATTATCCTCGAAAAATGTGGTAAATTGAGTATAATGACTTCCAAAAAAAAATTGCATTTTTAGGTGACTTGAATACATTAAATAAGACCCAGTCTGAATTTCATGGCCTTTTCGAACGAGAAATCGGGCGTGCAATCAGAAATTCCCGCGTGCAAATAAGAATTTCTGGCGTGCAATTATAGCTCACGGCGTGCAAAATAACTGCGCCCGCTAAACTGATTTCGATCTAAGATACCTCTCAAAACATTCGCGTAAAAATAAGTTGGATCATAGCAAAAATGGACGTTTGACCTTTGACCCCCAAAACATCATTTCTATATTTTGTCACTAATTTTGAGAGTGTTTGTGCGACTTTAGATACCGGTACTGTTCAGTACATCCGTGTAAAATTATTGTATTAAAAATACGCTGAATCAGAGCCATAACTGGCCAGCGTCGGTGAGAAGGCGATTTTTCTCACGGGATTCCTATCATTCAACACGATATGGTGTTTTTTGCTTGCCGCATTTTTCGATCGGGCCAAATCTTGCAAGCAAGTATTAGTCGACAATCGTAAAGTTATAATTTTTTGGCATCTTTATATTACTAGTTTATTGATTTAAAAACTATTTAAACCGATTTACATTGGTGAGCAATTGCAAATTTTCGGCGTGCAAAATTTAATTCGCTCGCGTGCATTTTTGTGGAGCGCTAGCGCCCTCGGGCGTGCATCTGCCATGGAATCCAGTCTGGAATAAGACTCAAACTATTATGCAAGGAAGTACAGAGTCAGAATGTTACAATGAAACCATAATTTCACGGAGAATCGATTTCACTCAGATTTTACACCGGTTCAAATGTCAAAAACTACTCAAATACCCCCCCCCCCCTACAATATAGCAAGAATCATAGATGCCTGGATATTATTCACTATGGTACCGGTACCTTGTGCATCATTTTCCCTAAATATTGACCCGGAGGTAGACTACCGGTATCTAATTTCCCTGTTTCCCGGAGTTGTGTTTTTACCAAAAACATCCTGTTTTCCTATTTTCTTACAATGCTCACCACTTTCAGACTTCAATAACTCTGTATGTGAAATAATCTGATTAAAAAATGAGCATGTTTGATCTTCGTACAACCATGGCTGCATGGTGTAACGTTATACTGTTACCGGTACCGCTAGTCTGATAGTGAAACTTTTACTAAAAGCAGGTAGTACAGTAGTACCGGTACCGTAAGTGGACCTGCTGACATAGGACCAGGAATTTAAGAGTTACCGTATCGCTCCAATTGTCAAGAAGTCTACAAATACCACCCACTGACATACTGAATTTATTCCTGGTTTATAGGCCTACATCAGTTTTAGAATCTAGAATAGAAAAAGTGTGTGTCAATCCGCCTCAAAAATAATGAAAGAATGGTCAACTCGATGAGTCTGTGGCGCGAATCCAATCCTGAGTGACAGGTATGATTTTCGCTATAGCAAACACGATTAAATTTGAGAAACCGTCCAAATAATTTTCGAGTTTCAGAAGTGATCCATTTTTGAGCTACAACAAACTTTATACTTGGACAAAACTTTGTCAGATACGTAAAATTCAACATGCAAAAATATTGACCTCCTAATAGTCCTATATTGCATCGGGCTAGCGACGCAAAATGTTTCACTCCCAAATATTTTTATATAAAATTGCAACACTAATACATATGTTATCAGGCAAAATTGAATGTAATTGTTGTATGGTAGTAGGTACATGAAACTTTCTAACATAAGTTTAAAGTCTCTATGCGATAAGTAGCACATTGGTTGTCAAGGTAGACTACTTCACAATCAGGCTATAGAATCTTAGATAGATGGTATGTTTCCCAGGTTTCCCCGACCACTTTTCTCCCAAAAATATTCCCCATTCTTCGCTATTGCAAAATTTTGGATGTTCATTTTGAAAATGTTTTGGAGAGTTGACAATTGCACACTGATCTAAGTGCTTAATATAAGTTTATATCGACCTCATAATCAGCATAACAATAAAATGATTGGTAAAAATCAAAACTGATTATGAAATCAGGAGAGCAAACAAAACCTTAGATAAGGTTTAAAACGTACAGAATGTATATAAGATGGAAGGTTTTGCCAATAAGAAGCGGTACGTGTTCACTCACCTAAACACGCACCCACACACACAACCATACAAAAGTTATACAGTAAGAATAACATGATAAATAAAAAACGATAACTTAAAACGATAACTTTAGTCCAGTCTATCGCAGCTTTACCGAGGCTAATCTTTGATTATTGCAACTAAACTATAGCTCATCGGAAGACATAATGACAAATAAAACACTTCATTCAATAATGAATTTCGAAAACACAATTGAAAACTGACAAATAACACGCGAAACCGAGGCAATTTTTATAACCATGCTTGAATATCTGTGTTAGCAAAGTAACGTCTGTGCGGATGCTAAAAGTTGTTACGTCATCGTTGACTTTTTGCTGATTGGTTATTGTTACGGAAATAAACAAGGTAATCGATGCTTGGGTCCATTTATTGGATAGATAGTTTATTTATAAAAATCCATAATAACAAACACAAACTAAAAATGGAGAACTCTGGAACGTCCTGTGGGCCTTGTGGAATTCATTTGTTCTACTTCTAACTGAAGTTTTGTGTGGGGACGTCAATGACATTAATGTCATTGGGTGACGTCAACAAAATCAAAAAGTCAAAGTCGGTGGTTTTTATGGAGACGGCAGACTGCGGTACTGGAAATGATATTACAGTAGGGACTCGGATCGATTCGTACTCCAATTCACGTTGCAACTCAATCATGAATCGTCATAGACCCGCCTGGAAAAGCTAGCACAGTCCACGTATCGATAACAGAAACTGGTAAGATGCCGTGGCTGTTCTGCAGTTCAGTTTCGTTCAGGATATCGTATGATTTTCGAAGAATTGATGGTTAAATAATTCGTTTTGACTTTCGTGTTATGAACTTCGTTTCCATAGGATAGGATTTACATATTTATCCCGGGGGAGAGGAAAGCCGATGGGACGGCTTATCCATATGGCGAACCACTTCCGAAAACAAATAACTGGCTAATTAAAATCCCATACCCGACTTGGAATGGTAACCGGACGAGAGGCCGTGGTTCGCAATATGATTAAGCCGTCTTATCGCCTTTCCTCTTCCCCCGGGATAAATATGTAAATCCTATCCTGCCTTCTATTGTTGGTTGGAATTGGCTTCGCCAGTTTGTCAACTACATTTGTCTCCGTTACAAAATATAATAATGGGTAGTTGGCTTCCATTTCCAGTTTTTACCAACTAACTCTGTAAATAGTATTACAACCTACATTACATATAACATAAATATCCTGGCCACCTCACAATTACAAATGCTAACTGGTTTAAAAACAAAATCATGGTATTCCTCATAAAGCTCAGTGCGCTGCAGTATGACAAATTATCACAAATAGAATTCAGGACATATAATATTCAATTGAACAAAACTAAAATTGGAACAGAGCAAATTTATACGATTTTATCGGTTTTTCAGCTCATCGGGAGTGAGATCAATTTCAATTCTCCCCACAGGACTTAATCCTGGCCCAATGGTGTGTGGAATGAGGTATCCACTTTTCTGAACCTGTCAATACATACAAAAAAAAAAATTCATTATTTTGTTGTATCCCGATTCTATTGAAAATATATGATGTCAAATTGAACTATTTACTATAAAACACACTTTAAGGTGAATATGTTTTGATTTAAGCCATATTTGAATTGGAAACTTGCATTAACTGATAAGAATTTGAAATGGAAAGTTCAAATTGATTGGTTTCATAATTATATAGTACAGTATATAGTTTATAGTAGTCAAATTTTCAGGTGCAAAAAATTTAAATATCTTACCACCAGTACTGCTACTAGAAAAAATGAGAAACCAGAAGCAAGCATGGCATTTCCGCTTATTCCGAAAAGTTTGTTTTTCAAAACTGGATATTTATTGAAGCCTGAAGACATTCTTTTCTGCAGCAGTGGTGCTGAAGTAAAATTATCATAATGAATGCACAATATTTTTCTCAGGTGGTGACAAGCAGATTTGGTCAGGTAATCTCACAAAGGTTATTGAATGTGATCCACCCCTGGTAATATTGCCCCACCTACCAACCATTCATGAAAAAGTTCACAAGCTAGTGTTTCGCTGTATAATATTGACCATGAGCAATGATTCAACTATGACAGTAATTAAGGATTAACAATTGGATGTCATCCAACAAATGGATATTTGTTTAAATGACTGTAAGCTTATCCATACTTACACAAAACTCATCAAGCCACTATTTTTACAAAAATTAGCATAATTGTCCGAAGGAAACTGTAATGAATATATAGCCATAGAATATTGGAATGGGAGCAAAGCTTTTATTAACAAACTATTGCAAAACTATGAAATGTATTTGCAAGCCATGAAGATATTTTTAATCACACCTAGACCTTTATAGTTAATACAAAACATAAATTTACAGTATTTTTTTTTCTATTCCGATATGCCAAGTTAATGAGAAAATAAAGTTAAAGAAATTCCATTCAGTTCATTCCATAATTTTGTTTTTCCAAACTCAGAAATACTATATCTGTACTAATACTGTATCTGTATCTGGCTATCTGTATTTTATTATGCTATTCAAGTATGGCCATGTTTATTTTCGATACAACATATCTGCTGTTATACGCATACAAATCCACGAGCACCAATGCATTGGGGAAGGATTGGGAGTGGGTCTCACGTAACCTCTACTGATAGTTCGTCTATATCTTTGTTTTGATGTAATTGTTGTAAAATTTAGATATTGGTGACATATCTACACATTGCCGCGTTGGCAGTCAAAATGACTCCTCAAAATTGTAATACCGCTATAAACAGGTGTTGCCAAAATAATAAGGCCTTCCAAAGTACGGTATACGGTCTAAAATCTCTAAAATTCTCGTCGTAACCGTACTGACAAGAAAGAGATTGCTGGCATTAGTAAGTTCATTATAGTCGGTATAGAGGCCGTTTCAGACAATTGTAGCTATACTCTTTCTGACTTTTGCAACCGCTACGATGGTGCAGTGACGTAATTTTTGATGACGTACCGGTACTCAGGTGGGGGTTAGGAATATTATATGCAAAAATCATTATGCCACACCCACTACAAGTTCATGAGACCCAATTATTCTAGCATTACACGGTGCACAGACTACTGGAATTGGGAATTGTGAAATCCTAGACCGGAAATATCAATTCACGGTACCGGTACCTACCGTACCGGTACCGGTACTACTTCCATTATATTAGATACCGTAGATAGTTTATTTTGAAAACTCCATAACAAACACAATATTATGGTATCAATGTGACATAGAGTAAAGTGTATAATAATAATATTAGTTAACTAACCTCGTGCAAGCCTGAGAACAGTTGACCTAATCATCGTGGAATGCTGAGAGACTTCTCACGTTCAACATAAATCCGATGAGAACCAAACTTCGACCTAAAGAAATCACCTTGCCCCGGATATATTTATTTCATTCCCACGCGGATTTAATTTTAAATGAGTCAAATTGTAATTATTCGTTAACCCTTTCCATGCGATTTTTATTTTTTAATAAATAATCGTATTTGCTACGCCGATTTTATGCATTTGTACCCCCACAACTAATCGATCGACTAACGAAAAACTAATGATCCTCTGCTGCCCACTGACGGCTCGTTGGGAAGCTTATTTAAAGAGCTTGCAATTGGCGATTAAAAAAAAAAGATTTTTCAAAAGTGGTGGTATGAGTCACAAACCGGATAGGAAAAAGGCATTTTTTTTTTCTTGGGAGTTGAAACTTTATACCGTGATAAAAAATAGAAATATTCGCTAAAATCTTTACTGTTGCCGCTTCGTGGTTGGCAAACAATATCATAATATTGCTTGTAGCAATTTCGTGATCTAACTCAAATATTTTGGTAGACGGAAGGGATAATATGTCTTCTATTACCACCCAAAATACACCCAAATTTGCATAAATTTTAAAAACACTCACCTCGTTCCGCCGCAAATAAATTCCTCGTCGTAAACGAAAAGCGAGATTTACCGTCGCTTTATGTTAATCTCGAAGAAGACTTCTTATCAATAAACTAAAACCCCGGAAAAAACCTAGACCAACAAGTTGCGACCCATTGCTAAATAAAACAGTGAAGTACATCAACGTACCCGCCGCAATCTAGCGAGTTTTGTCGTGGGTACGTATACGTGCCCACCGCACGGAAAGGGTTAATATGGCATGTTATTAACCCAACGCTACCGAACTCATATTTTGTATTGGCACTTTTATTTTTCTTTTCAAATCGTCAACCAATATGCCTTGAAACTCCACTGATGGCTTTTTAAACGCGTACACTGAAGTTCTCTTCCGCGAGATGACGCTAAAGATCTATTGAAAAAAAATTGAGATATGCGACCTTATGCCGAAAATTTCTAAAAAAAAAATCTTGAACATAACAATCAGTGTGTTTAGTAGAGGGTTAAGCACTAATTATAGCTAATTAATTTTATTTTTACGGTGATCTTGTGTTCTTTTCTAACGAAACAGTACCGCAACCATGGTTATAGCTAAAATAGTTACCAAAAAATTCATGATTTAGTTTTTAAATTTCACCACTGCACTTGAAGATTTGATGACGTCACGACCTAATTATTAGGGCATCAAAGCTACAATATAGATGAAATGCAATTATTATCGATGAAAATAGGCGCAACAAGTCGTAAACAAGACAACGCGCATCGTTACAACGACACGCTTTGACGATCGATTGCTTCATTATTGGTTAGAATTTGACCACTCAACCCACTATGTATGACCAAGTATGGTAGGGTAGAATGTTCACATTACAGGGCTAAGAATAGAATGAATCAATAAAAATACAAGCTATGCTAATACAAAGTCCATTGAATGGGAGTATTTTCATGATAAGAACCTGTCACTACGTGTTTTACATGTTTTCATAGCAATGATTCATACTTCTTCAAATCGGTGCTATTTATAGAACTGGGATTTTCAACGAAGTTGGAAAACTAAATGCAATACATAGCCACCATCTATGCAATGGATACACGATGAACTAAACAGGAATATAGATTTATACACGGAATTCATGCAAAGACAAAGAATTGTACGTTGGGGCCGCCCTACTTTGCTCGGACGTTGCTCGGAAACAAACCGTAGGTTGTAGATAAATATTATGTTATTGCCCTTCCCTGGATATTAGTAATGCGAACAAACATGTGTTATTACCCTTGAGGTGTATACACTTCAATGTTTTTTACCATATTGGCTCGGCGGTGGGGCCTCGTGCTAAGCGTTAGGAATACGTTCATTATTACCCTGCGTGAGTTCGCAGGTTTGAATCCCATGCGGGGATAGTTATGTTCGAGAGGATTTCTGGACTCCTTTTTCCGTAGGGTGGTTCACGCAACCGCTGGTCGGTTACGACCTTCTCCACCATCAAGTCCATGCTTCCGAAAACTGGCTAACCATACCCGACACGGACTGGTACCCAGTCAAGAGGCCCAAAATGCTCTAACAAATTCAATGGCATATGTCAATTGTTATATGTCATTGGACAAAACAAAATCTTAAAGTCGAAATACTATTGTGACAACCGACTCCGGGAAATTCGGAAAAAACGGACTCATGCTACATCCCCTGAAAAAGCCCCGCACACATCTGCACAACGACCGACAGTTTCCCACTTAATGATTCTGCTCTCCCGTGCTGGCGTGATAGGGTATGCGGTATGGCGAAGACTCGACCATCAGAACCCCCTCCATACGAAGCTCCTCCACCTTGGATCCCAGCAGCTCAGCGATGGAAAAATCCTATTTACAACAGTAACTTGAGCATGTACTTACCAAGGGTGGTAGAACTTAAGAAGCAAGTTCAAGGCCAACCACTTGGTTTTAATATTAGAGGCGGGAGGGCGAATGAAGGCGGTGTTTTCATTTCGAAGGTGAGTTTACAGCAATTCAAAATAATCGCAAACGAACGAACGACAGTACATATGCTATTATTTTATGTGCTCTGCCTATGAGCCTATGGGCTACTTCTGTACTACTTTGTTTGCCTTAGCTCCTGCACTGTCAGACTGTGGTATAGCCATCTCATTTCAATATTTACAGATTTATCTACTATGATAATTTAGTCATACTATAACAGTCTATTAATTATTATGATGGTTTTGATGTAATAGGACATTAATAAGCTTTCTGAGACAGATTTTGTTTCAGCCATTTGCAGCATTGTGTTATCTGTCTTGTTTTCTAGGAGTGCAAAACCTCAGTAAGCACCTTTGACAGATAGTCAGGCATGTTAATTAGTTAGTCAAGTTAATTATGTACGTTGCAAAACTTCATTTCCTTGCCTAATGCCTATTATTCATCAGGTTTTAGCAGAATCTGAAGCGGAGAAACTAGGATTGAAGCCAGGAGATGAGATTTTATCTGTCAATAATGCAGATTTTACTGATATCCCGCATAATGAAGTATGATTTATTGAATACAGTGATGGGATTTTGATGTTATTTTAATTGGGCAATAAAGAAAAACTGACATTTTTTCACTTTTAAAAACACTGAGAAATTGCTGAAAAATAAATTAAGAATTTTGATATGCATTTTACCTGAAATTTATTTCGAAAAAAGATCATCAGAAAATAATTATGTCACCACATTTCCAATAAAGATAGTAAAAGTACGGTACTCTCTTTTCCTTGCACACACATTTTGATATAAATGTCTGTCCATAGTGAAGGTGTTGGTACTCACTGATGATAGCAAAAAAGATAAATATTTGAACAAAATTAGGTTTCTAAAATAAGGTCTCTGACCAACAAGGTCAATAAAGACTTTTTGTGAAACAAAATTTTACTCTGAATTTACCTCATTTTAATTGAATTCATTTGGTATGAGATTGTGATTCCCTGAGATCTAGCTAACTCTCCCCTCTGATATTTTACATTATTTTTGCTCATTTGATTTAAATAACCTGCAAACTGAGTGATCATTCAAAAATTTGGACCTGATTGTTTTTACACATACAGTATTTTATATTTTACAGGCTGTGGAAATTTTAAAAAGATCTATGGAGTTGAAGTTGAAAGTTCAGTATTTTCCATATGGTAAGTGGAAATATTGTTTATTTGGTAACCATAAATTTGAGTAGTTCATTTCATACAAATAATTCTACAATAATATATATGTATACTCTGTTTTATTGCATCTTCAATATACTTCTGATATTATTCAATGGTATCAAATAATATCATCCAATGAGAATCTATGATTACTCATTGGCTTTCTATTTCTGCCGAAAATTATTTCATTGGAATTTTGATTAGAAATACAACCTCAAATAAAACTTTCTTATTGATTTTTGGCAGTTCTCATGAAACAGTTTAAGTAATTTTGAAAATAGATTGACTATACACTGATTTATTTATTTTTTCGAAATACCCAATTGAGCGATCACTTGATTGGCTGGTCTAAATATTATACACCCAGTGACTGTTGGAAGGTCATGAAAGATACATTGTTATAGCTTATCGTTTATTTTATAGATTTCATTCATTATCTTATTTAATAGGTTGAAACACAAAATATGTATGATTTTTTATCTCGTTCAATACAAGGCTATACCTTCAAGCCTAGAAAAGTTGATGGCAATGAACTATTTGATAAAATGAAAGTTTTCTTTGAATGTTGATTTTTGTGCTTGTATTTTTCATCCTAATTATCTTGTGGCTAAAGCCACATACATTCCAATTTGAAACAATGAAAATTCATCACACTCTCTTCATATTGATAATTAACTTCTTTTTGTAAAACTTTGATCACAAGTTTTTACGCTCACATTTTGCCATGGACCATGATTGCGCTAAATGGGTGATTGGGAAATAGAAACTTTTATATCTCTTACTCATGCTTTATTGTCAAACATGAATGACTTAATATTTTCATCGTTTCAAAAATTTTTTCTCAGGTTATGATGCTCAGATGAAAATATCTGGAATATTACCAATGTAAATTTGGGAGGGATTATAAAAAATCACTGTTGTTGCTACACTACTTCAAATTTTATTTATGCCAAGTCTTCATATAAGAGAGTTTCGTACTGTTTATTGTTTGATATTTGCTGCACTGATTGTGGTTCATCTGTGAATTATTTTTATATGAATTTAATGGTTCTTCAATAAAATATTTTACACATTTATTTTACACTGTTATTCAAACTATTCCTTGTTTCTTTGATCATAATAAAATATGGGACTTTGCCGCTGGAGTCTCCAAAATATCTTCAACAACATAGAGTTGGAGGGATAGATGATATTAGAAAACCACTTGAATTGTGGTATCAAACATTCGGTGGTGAACTTCTTGTAGTTGGAATGTCAACCATTATAACATTGCTATTATATAATTGAAGTAATTCTAGTAATTGGCTATGAAAGTTTGAGAACTGCATCTTTACTGAGGTGTTACCAGGGAAAATTAGCATAATAATGACCTTCCTACAGCGTACACCAAAAATATTATTCAAAATTCAATAACATCCGATAACTAGGCAATAAGAATTGCGAGGATTCCTGACCAATTGAACAAACTCTTCTAGACGATCGACATCACTGTAAATCAAAATAGACAACATGTTCCCCTCTGTTCAAACAAATGCGTGGCTATGGATGTGGAAATAAATCTCTCTCTCCTCAAGCATCGTTCCTTATTTATTCGACACGAGCTTGACCTATGGATCGTTTTGTTATTTTGCTGTTGATCATTATGTTAGTATAATACGAATTATATGTAGCGGTTCTTTCACCTCTCTCGTGACACTCGCTTGCTCCGCGAAGGTCTGGATCTTTTTGATGGTACCGGTACGGTAAGAGATAATTTGGTCTTCGTGTCGATATATTTGAGCATCGCTCTTGTTTCGATAAAAATGACCAATCGACAATAGATTAACAATTGACTTGTGTGTTATTTGTAAGTTTTGAGTTGGATTTCCAAAAATGGGCTGTTGTCTGAGGAGCTTTAATTCTAGTATTCAGAAATTAGCACCAACTATCCAAAACATGCAATCTGTCACAGTGAACACAGTATTGACGACTAACGCGAAAGCGGAACCGCCATAAAAAGCGCAATTATTTATGACACCGTACAATTTTTTTTTAAATAAATAAAAGTAACAGCCTTCTAGAAAAAAATATAATCCTCAACCACTGAAAATTTATGAGCAATTGGTCCAGTAGTTGATGAGAAAAGCGATGTTTCCATAACGATAAAGAGGAAAATACCAACAAGGACAACAACATAAACAAAACGATCCATATGTAGGCTACATTTCGTGTCCAGTAATCGTCAAAAGTTTCACGATAGTAATGGATTTGGAGAAATTTTCTGAGGTCAAGGGTCCGGAAAACGTCCATTGTCTTGTCAACTTTGCAGTAGTTTTTTTCTCAGCTGTATGAACGCACAAATATTTTTCCCAAAAAATTGTTAATGTACGGTGAATGTCGTTGTCAAACAGAATTTTACTCAATGCGAGGTTCTCCTTATATATATTCGAGATTTTGCTGAGAGTATTTTAATAATGGGTAATGGCTCGGGATGCCCGAGTATGTATATATATATACACTGCTAACAGACAATCCTCAGTTTTACTAGCTAACAGGCAATCCACGATATAGTATTGTAATGGATCTGAAGGCGCAGACGTAAGTAGGAAGGTTAACCTTGTAAATTTGATTATGGATGGGCGGGTGGGCACTTTTGCAAGATTTGGGTGTTTTTTAAAAAATGGTGGAATTAATTTTGCAAGCAATCCATGTCTCGCACGTATAAATACCAAATGAAAGTTACAAAAGACGCGTTACGAGATATTTGCAGGGTTTTCCAAGTCAAAGAAAAACTGTTTACAAAGCCGATACGAGAGTTCATTTTCAACGGGGTGAAAAGCAATCACGCGTTTAATCTGTGTGTTCTTCAGAAGTTTAGCCTTCGTATTGTTACAGGCAGAAATTTAACTTTCGTGAATTAACCTATTAATTTTAGTTATTCTGGTCCCGATAAACATGTTCAGACTTGCTCTCGTTTATTTATTTGTTTATTTATATTAAGCGTCACTGACCGAGAGAAAGTTTGAAGTCTTGGCAATGCTGGTGCAATACTCTCTTATATCAGCTGATTTGTATTCATGCCCTTGTTATTCTTGTTGTATTATACTAAATGTCCTATTTATTAATGTGGGAGACAGTGCAATGAGGCCCGGTCACATGAATTTCTCACCAAAGTTTACCCCAGCCCACACTCGCTCAGCCCACACTCAGCCTGACGTCAAGGGGTTAACCAACTATTTTACTGACTTTATAAACGTAATTACATAAAAACTTGGTGACTCTGACAATATAGAGACCATATCTGATATACACAACGCAAATACAATACCAAGCACGGCCCAGTTACCCCTCGCATGGCCTGACAAAAACGAGTGTGGGCCAGCGTCACACGAGTGTGGGCTAGCGTCACACGAGTGTGGGCTGGCATCCTACGAGTGTGGGCTAGCGTCACACGAGTGTGGGCTGACGTTCTGACAATGTTTCACCGTAAGTTAAGGCATCCTAAACGTTCACAGATTACTAAATTACATATATCCATGTTTAACTCAGCGCCAGAACCTCTCAAAGTCCGGCAATTGATGGCACAAAATAGCCACAATTGCCGGGAAAATAAATCGAAATCAGCTGAACAATGATATCCCTAATCACTGTTGCCAGATATATAGGTGGACAAGCATGAATTCACAGGAAGGTTTCACAACAAAAAAAAATTATAACTAAGCGAAATACCAAACCTATTCATTTCCATCAATAAGAATGAGATATGAACAAATCGAATCTGATTTGCACAAATACATCTTTTAAAATAAAGATTGAACAAGCAAATTAAGTAACATTTACCCAAAGAGTTACATTGTCTTGATGGCTTTGAAGTCTGATTTCGGCACTTCTAATACTTTGTACGCCATGAAATCGACTTATTACATTATATATCCAATTATCCAACAAATAACGAAAAATTTAAAAATTCTACCGGGGGGAAACACTTTAAAATAAAAAAAGAATGTACCTATGTATAAAGATAATTCTATTTCCCGACAATGGTATTTTATGACAAAATGCAACAGAGAATTGAAACTTTTCTATTAATTTGTACATCACGACATTTGTTTAATATATTATATAGTGAATTATCTTACAAATACTAAAAAATAAAAAAAATTTACCTGGGGGAAAGACTTTAAAATAAAACCGGAATCTACCTATATCTGACGATAATCATAATTCCCGATAATAGTAATTTATGACAAAATGCAACAAGAAATTGAAATTTTTCTATTTGTTTGTACATCACGAAATTTGCTTATTATATTATATAATGAATTATCTTACAAATATCAAATATTGAAAAAATTCTACCGGGGGGAAAGACTTTCAAATAAAACCGGAATCTACCTATGTCTAACGATAATCACAATTCCCGATAATGGTATTTTATGACAAAATGCAACAAGGAATTGAAACTTTTCTATCAATTTGTACATCACGAAATTTGCCTATTATATAAAATAGTGAATCATCTTATAAATACTGAAAAATAAAAAAATTCTACCGGGGGGAAAGACTTTAAAATTAAAACCGGAATCTATCTATGTCTACGATAATCATATTTCCCGATAATTGTATTTTATGACAAAATGTAACAAGGAATTGAAACTTTTCTATTTGTTTGTACATCACGAAATTTGCTTATTATATTATATAATGAATTATCTTACAAATATCAAATATTGAAAAAATTCTACCGGAGGGAAAGACTTTCAAATAAAACCGGAAATCTACCTATGTCTAACGATAATCACAATTTCCCGATAATGGTATTTTATGACAAAATGCAACAAGGAATTGAAACTTTTCTATCAATTGTACATCACGAAATTTGCCTCATTATATAAAATAGTGAATCATCTTATTAAATACTGAAAAATAAAAAAATTCTACCGGGGGGAAAGACTTTAAAATAAAACCGGAATCTATCTATGTCTAACGATAATCATATTTCCCGATAATTGTATTTTATGACAAAATGTAACAAGGAATTGAAACTTTTCTTATTTTGTTGTACATCACCAAATTTGCTTATTATATTATATAATGAATTATCTTACAAATATCGAATATTGAAAAAATTCTACCGGGGGAAAGACTTTAAAATAAAACCGGAATCTACCTATGTCTAACGATAATCATATTTCCCGATAATGGTATTTTATGACAAATGCAACAAGGAAATTGAAAACTTTTCTATTTGTTTGTACATCACCGAAATTTGCCTTATTATATTATATAATGAATTCATTCTTACAAATATCAAATATTGAAAAAATTCTACAGGGGGAAAGACTTTTAAAATAAACCGGGGAATCCTACCTATGGTCTAACGATTAAATCATATTTCCCGTATAATGGTGATTTATGAAAATGCAACAGGATTTGAAACTTTTCCCTATTTGTTTGTACATTCACGAAATTTGCTTTACTTATATTTTATATGTGATTATCTTTCACATATTGAAAAATAAAAAAATTCTACCGGGGGGAAAGATTTTAAAAATAAAACCGGAACTACCTATGTCTAAACGATAATCACAATTCCCGATAATGGTATTTTATGACAAAATGCAACAAGGAATTGAAACTTTTCTATCAATTTGTACATCACGAAATTTGCCTATTATATAAAATGTGAATCATCTTATAAGATACTGAAAAAATAAAAAAAATTCTACCGGAGGGAAAGACTTTCAAATAAAACCGAAATCTACTTATGTCCAACGATAATTCTATTTCCCGATAATGGTATTTTATGACAAAATGCAACAAGGAATTGAAACTTTTCTATCAATTTGTACATCAAAATTTGCCTATTATATAAAATAGTAACTCATCTTATAAATACTGAAAAATAAAAAATTCTACCGGGGGAAAGACTTTAAAATAAAACCGGAATCTACCTATGTCTAACGATAATCATAATTCCCGATAATGGTATTTTATGACAAAATGCAACAAGGAATTGAAACTTTTCTATCAATTTGTACATCACGAAATTTGCCTATTATATAATAGTGAATATCTTATAAATACTAAAAATGAAAAAATTCTACCGGGGGAAAGACTTTAAAATAAAACCGGAATCTACCTATGTCTAACGATAATCATAT